GGGGGGGGGGGGGGACAGATAGCACAGCTGGTAAAGCCATCAGAGAAGGATCCCCGGGCCTTCTGCCAGCTCTGCAGACGGTCCCGTTAATGTTTAGCCAGAGCCAACCCACTCCCCCCCTCACCCCCCCGTGCTCTGATCCAGGGCTGTGGTTCAAACGGTCAGAGGATATAAACACTGACCTCCGCCCTCGTGGCTGGAATGGGACGCGGCGGCGAGCGCCCGGCGGGCGGCGAGGCCGGCTGGAGCCAAAGACATCTGCAGAGGAGGCGGGAAAGAGTTTAAACACACACAAACACACGCACACACACACACGTTTTGACCTGCTGAGTCTGATAAGACGGTTACAGTTCATCTGAAAGTCACAACATAGATTTGACTCAAGCTTTTATGCGTTTTTATGTCCCCAAAACCAACACATGAGTAAGAAAATGAATACTGAAATATGTGTGAAGTTGTTTTTTTTTGTGTATTTGCCCCTCCAGCAAAGAAAACTATCCAGAGTGAGTATAGCCAGGGTTTTTGGGGAAGGCCTGTGGAGAAGTGAGCCACAAACACCTGTCAGAATCTCATCAAATGTGCTGAAGACTTACTGTTTTCCGGGGGGGCTGTGGTCAGTGAAGCCTCGGCGTTCTCTTATTTTTCCTGCAATTCCTCCTCCCTGCGTGTTCGTCCTTCAGTCCGTCCTAAGTTGAACTCTCCCTGGGAAGCTCCTCCCCATTTCAATCTGACGCACTGCCAAGTAAGTTAGTTTATATTTGGGCAAGTGCAGAGGCTGGCCGATACGTGAGGGTGGTGATGAGGGAGGAGGCGCTGTAGAGGACGTTCAGCCGGAATTACAATGTCAAAGGGGGGGGGGGGGGCTTTATTTATATGTTGTTTATAGAGCAGGGTTAGGAATAAATAGCGAGGAATTAAAACATGACGAAACATGAATAAACACTGTAACTGCAAAACAACATAAAAAAGTCACAAATTTCTAAATTCCTGTCAATAAGTGACAAGTTTTTGTGAATTCAGCAAAAGGTTTTTCAAAAAGAGATCCTGACAGAGGCGTTTTATACACTGGAATATATTCAAAAGTTCACTGGGAGTCACTGACGGGAGGCAAAAATGGTGGAAAAGTTGTTTCTCCAGAGTTTTGGATCAGCTGAAGGATTTTCGTGTCTCAGCCTCAGTCTGGGAGAGGAGGCTTCTGATTTGAACCACGTTGGATCAATCAAAGAGAGCCAGGATTTATTTGATTGATAAAAGAAATGTGTGATGAAAGACAAATGATTTAGAATTGAGTGCCAAAGTAATTTCGAAAGTGAATATCGACATTGACAAGGGCTTGAAGAAGATATAAACTTTTATATGTAGTTTTAGTCATTGATTCTGTTCCATGAGAATGCATATCAAAATAAATAATGGTGTCATCAGCATAACAATGAAATCTGCATAATGTTTTTGATGATTTTACACAAAATGAAGGCGTTTCGGACCCAATCCAGAACCATGTGGAGCACATTAACAGAGCAGAGTAACACAGGTCATATAGGTTTGCACATATTCTGAGAAAAGAAGGCAAAATCTTATTGTAATTTAAATGTAATCAAATTGTAATATAAAGAAAATAAGTGGTGTGTGGAATGTGGGGAGAACGAGACATCAATGCCATTGTTGTTTATATGTGCATCTTTGTAGAAAAAGAAGATAAATGTTTGTGTCTGAACAGAGGAAAAACAATAGAAATCCCTAAAAGGATGGCAAACGAGCCATGGGAGGGTTTCACTCGTCCACTAAGAGAGGCAGCTCTGATTTGGGAGGTGTGCTGGTCAGTGGAGACATTAGGATGACCACAGACTGTCCACCAGATGGGGTGGTGCCGCTTTGAGTAAGACTTACTTTGACTTTTTTCTCTGGAACTCTTTTCCAGGCTGCTGCGAGTTGTGTTGGTTAGAAATAGGGTTCCCGGTTCAGATCCCCACTGGAGGCTCTGCGTGGGGTTCTGATAGTACGGGTTAGCTTTGGTTCGATGGCACGAAAACAGTCAGGTTAAGTTAATGGGTGACTCTAAATTGCTCCTGAAAGGGTGAGCCCCCCTGCCAAGGACTGGCGGCCTGTTCATTCCTTCAAAGGAACTCCTCTCCTAAGTTTACCATCACTCATTTTGGACAGATGTAGAGACTGTTTATGACATATTGGGTGAAAAAATATTTGCATCTGTGTAGAGTTGTTTGAGTCGTCTGCACATAATCTGAACACTGAGCCTCTTGTTTAACTCTAAAAGATTAAAAATATATTTGTATTTGATTCAGTGGTCTTATCAGTGAAATCTCCAGGGGAAAACTTTTCTCTGTTTCCCTTCTTCTTCTGAGGTCTCGTGGTTTTTTTTGGTCCCCTCTGTCTGGACGGCTCCGGCCAGATGTGCCAACAGCAGCCGGAGCCAGCGCTGATGTCAGCCGCTCCTGCGAGGAGCAGGCCGCCTAAACGTCTGGCACTTTTCTGTGAGTGTTTTTGCAGCGAGGGGTGAAACGCAGTCTCAGCACTGACTGACACACACAAGCTGCTAGAACTGGGGCCTTACCTCAGGCTTCTGAAACCGAGGCACACATGCTGTAAAAGCCTCATGAAGCAGGAAGAATCCCTCTGCTTTTGGATTACTGCACTTCCTTCATGGGCATAAAGATCGTATGCAGAGATGTGATGAAGATTTATAAAGTGGAAACTCTGTTTCTACACGTAAGCACATTTCCGAAAAGTTTGAATGGCGGGAAATATGTCAAATAAAACACAAGGCAATGAGTGAACAGCCTCGAGGGGCTGAATACAAATTAAGTGGGTCCGTTCTGCAAATAAGGATCTCAGTTTATCCCCTCATGCCCTCTCAGTCTGAGCACATTTTGAGCACATTTTGTGCTCAAAAGGAAGACTGTTGATAGCGTGCCATGCAGTAAGTGTGTGTGATGTTGGACCACAGGAAGGTGGTTTCCACCAGTTTCAGGGGGACTCTCCTGTCTCTCCCTCTTTGAATTTACAGCCCGGTGCCGGTAGTTTCTCTGAAGTTCCACGCCAAACCAAGCTGACTCGTAATCCTGCTGCACGGCTTAAATCTTTGATTCAAATCGGGGCTTTCTTACATTAAAGTAGCTGTCTTGAAATCCGGTCCTTAAAGGCTGCTGGCCTGCGGGTTTTCAACACACAACCGATTCTCATCAAGCCAGCATTGACAGGCTTTTGCAGAGTTTAACTAATGTCTGAATAGATCCATTTGATTTGGATCAGGTGTGTTGAAGCAGGGAAAGGTGGACCTCCAGGACTGGAGCTGAACAAACCTGCCTTTAACAATAAAAGTGTTAACCCTTTAGAGTCCCAGTTACCACACGTGATTTCTAAAGAAAACTGTACTTGAGGGTATTTTTATATGCTTATATGTTTTTTTTTATATGCTTATATGTTTGTTTTTTAATGGAATCAAGAACATTTTTTGATCACTTTTTAATTTTGAACCTGAAACTTTAGGAAAAAATGTTGTAAAAACATTTAGAAATGTCTACAAATAGGCCGCAATAACATACAAGGATTGAAGTTTCAAATCATTCCAGTAAATCAGTGAGAGTCCTTAGGGAATGGGGAGGTGTGGAGTAACTCAGGCTGCAGACTCTTGGCCATTTATGAATACAGTATTGGATTTAGTGTTGTTTCCCCACAGCGGAAACTTCAGCAGACACACGATCAGGAACCGTGCACACAGAGCCCAGAGCCTGCGACATGATGGATGTTTACGAACCGTCTGACACAGCGAGTGCACTTGCTGTAAGTGCAGCTCCCCTCTTTTTACAGCACGGGACTTGTTTGAGACGTATTTTGATTTTTAGCTCAACTTGGAAATGCTGCCCACTGCCGACAGACCGCTTCCAGATGTGAAAAAAAAAAAAAAAAAGAAGTTGACACAATCAGCGGGAGAAATCCTTCACCATTCAACCAATTTAAAGGCTTTGGGCCTTTAAGGACCAAAGCTTTGTTCCAGCAAAAGGGGATATTTTCAAAAGTCTCACACTGAGTAACAAATGTGTCTGTAATATCTTCAAAAGCTCAATCTAGGGTCTGTCTTGGAGGCTGAACTCGTGCTCACAGATGTCAGCCTTCGCCTCCTTCTGTTCTGTGGCCTTCAGCTGAAGCAGCTGCCTGAAAAAAGCCGGTGCCAGCATGATTCCTCTGTGGGTCTTTGTCTTCTCCTCCTGGAGCGTTTGCTACGGGGAGCTGAACACTAACACCGAGCCCCCTGGAGGCGGCCCACTGTGCTTCCCAACTGGAAGAAGAATAGCATGAAACCACCGATAAACACTTGTGTTCCAGTCCTCAAGCTAAGAAAACAAAACATGGCTTTGGTGGAGTTTGGTGAAAGGGAACGTTTTATAAGGATTTTTACCCAAAAAATGATTAAAGTTTAGAAAATCGATTGAGGTCCTTTCATTTCACGAATGAAGTCAGCGACCATTTAGGAAGAAAATAATTTCTCTATTTGACTGAGAATCTAAACTAGTTAATTGATCTTTTTTTTTAGAGGTAAGGCATCACATTTGTTTCATGATCACAAAAATTACTGATCTGTTCAAGTTAGACTGGTTACACTTTATCTGAAATTTTACCAAATAACTGATCTCCTCTAATAATGTTAATTCCCAAAATACCCTCATATCGAAAACAAACCAAACAATTCTCTCTGTTTTTGTCCTTAAAAACACAAATGTTGTCCAATAAGTCTGCACTTAATCAAATTTCTTTATGTCTTGTCAGGTGTGTCGTACCACAGAGAGCGTGGCATCCAGATGTGTCAATCTGGTCTTTTACTACTCTTCCCTTTTTATCGACGCAATATCTGCACCATCAACTTTTTATTTGACTTCGCCCTTTGCAAAGCCGACACGCTTCTTATAGATGAGACAGATGTGGACAGATGCAGACAGATACAGACAGACAAATGTTTGGAGGTGACTCGTGGGTGAAGGAGCCATGAGTCAGGCGGGGGTTATGTTTTTGTTTTAGGCTCAGTACCACCATGGACGACGATGTGGTGGTCCTCACGTGTGACCAGGGTTTTTCCTAAGGTGGCACCAAAACACGCGGCTCCTTTCAGAGCTTAATCATAATATGTGGTTCTCCAGGCAGACGTTTGCATTAAGTTCTCTCGTGCCTGAGCTTAAGACGTAAACTTTGCATTAAAGAGTGGCAGACATTCAAAGGACCTCCCAGTGTATTTAACATAAAGATGATACTGAAGTCTGGAGATGCAAACACCGCTTTATGCTCCTTATACACAGTCTCAGCAGTCTGCAGGAACACGCCCCGTCTCCCCAGGCAACCCAACAAGATTACAATACTCCTCTGTCAAAAGCTAAATGAAAATACCTGAAAATGTCATTTTAATGGATGTCACAGGCCTAAGGGTTATTTCTTTAGCACTACAGAGTACGTGTGTTTCCTCATTAAACACGCACTGTGGAGTCATTTTCCCTTTCTCGCACAAATGCTCCCCTAACACACACACGTCCATCCACGCACAAACACAGCAGTGATGTCATATTTGCTTTGCTATTTCCATTGCTTTTAGGGTTTTCTCACAGCATGAACATTTTCTGTTTGTAAGCTCTCATTCATGTCCATAAAAGCCGGGATGTTTGCTCAGTTACAGAAAAATACAGACAAAGTAGTGAAAAGCACTTGTGCCAGTGAGTGCGTTTGGAGAAAGAAACATCTTAAACCCGTCTGTCATGTGCTAATTTTCTTGGAAAAAGCAGTATGTAATTACTCTGTCCTCACTCTCTGGTATGATTGTATCCTGAAACAATGATGGCATCTGTGGGAGAGAATCCAACATTTTGCCTGAAAGCTTGTTCAAGTAGTTTTCCTTTTCTAAAGCTAGAAACAGCTGTTCCTGACATTTTTCATTGTGAGAAGCATATAATTAGTAAATAAACACTTTTGTGTGTTTCTTTGTTGTGTGTCACTGGAGTGTTGCCAAGGGAAACCTAAATAAGCGGCATCATATTCACCAGATAATGTATACTATTTTTTTTTACACTTAGACTACACTTACAATTAAATGTAATTGTAATATATGTTTCTTATAGTTGTCAAACTATAGTTTAAGTACATTAAATTCACAAAGAACATTTATCAAAGGATATCATATGACCATTCCTTATCATTCAGACAATGATCGGAGTTCTACATCTAATATGAACATGTTTACTCAAGAGAATCAAATAAAATCTCATCAAATAAATTATCACCGCTGAATTATCTACCAAAAGTCAACATACAACTACCTCAAAGACAGCATCTGTGGAGGGAATACATTATATGAATGATGATCTCCCACTGTGAGTTATTTTCTTAAATGTTTTCACACAGTTTTGATTCAGTCAGTAACTGTTAATTTTCTACCAAAGTTGTGCGTACAGCTGTAATATTATGAAAAAAAAGTTAGAGCTCTAACATTGGCTGCTTTTAACTATGTTAACAACTTAACCTTTTTTTTTTTTTAAGTACTTTCTATCTTTGGTGTTGCTCTGTGGGTGGTCGTTAAATTGCGGAGGTTCTTCTTCTGTTTATTTAAAGACGGATTAGACACTACAGGGACTCACGCGCCACCCAGTGGTAAACAGTGGTAGTGCAACACATTACAGCCAAGGCTGAGTTTTGAAAGGGATCATTTCAAAGTAATCCAAATTATGAAGCATCCTCCCAAATGCAGCAGCAAGCTGCAGCCTCCGTCTGTAGACAAATTAATGTAAATACACATCCAATACAGATCAGTAATAAAAAAGGCTTTTCAATATGAATGTAGCAAACTTAATCTACTGATGTATATCCTAAGCTTTATCCGCCTTTATCCTCTGACCTGTATACTGTAATTCATTATATTCTACACATATTACTTACATTTCTAGTTTGTGATTAGTTTTGTTTTTAGCACTACTTTTTCATTTATTTTACCCCTCAGAAACACATGATCAGGCACTTTTTTAAATTTATGCTGACATAGAATTCTTATTTGATAATAATCCTTTGCAGTCAGAATGCAGCTTGCATCCCCAAAATATAATATTTTCTGCATGTTGGCCAGCTATTGAGGTGTTTCCTGATGTGTGTGTGTCTCAGCTAATGGAAACACACTGGCCAGACAGAGAAATGTGTGTGTTCAGAGGGCTGGACCGGTCAGTGGGAGTGTATCAGAGAGGGGGGAAAAAAAGAAAAACGAAAGGAAATATATAAGACATAAGAGGAGGTGATGCTTCAAGTACCAGTTTTGTAACTGTGTGTCCATCAGACTGCCCCATCATGCTGCTTCAAGCTCTCCTGCAAACTCTGCTGGTCTTCTGGATGGCTCAGGAAACTCTGCAAGGCGGTAAGAAACACAAACCAACACAAAAAATGTTAGATGAGGGCCTGTAATGCTTCAGCTTTACAATCAGATTTTGTGTTGTTGTCGTATGGTTGAAACTCATGCTGTTGAATATTAGAATTATTTACAAAATTATGTAAAATAATTATTTTACATACAGAAACAGAATTTCATCAAAATATGATTCTCACATTTTTTTCAGAAACCTTTATCAAGTGCTCTTTTTAGCAGAAATGTTTGAAATGTGACATTTTTTTCTGTTTTGTGAAACCAAAATTGGAACTTTTATTAATTGTGATTTTGGCTGACAAAATAATTAGATCACAGAGTACACAGTGCGTCTGTCAAACGTGGCCTGATGTGTCAGTCTGAGCTTTGATGGCTCGGCCTCTCTGGTGACTCACTCCCACTTACTTGTTAGATATCATGTCTGTGAGACCGAAGGAGAGAAACAGCTCTGCTTTATGAAGGACTTTGGCTCCAAGGTTTGGCGTCCCTGCCAAACCACGGCAGTTTGCAGAATATTCTTTAATTTCACTGAATCAAAGGACGTGGTGAAAAGGTGGCAGAGGCCGGCAAAATCTGACAGCAGATTGTGAGAAGAACTTAAAGGCTCCGCGGTGCCACCGTCCTCCATTTTCATCAATGGCCGTCTGTCTCCTCCTGATTCTGCTGGGACGAACCCCAAGAGACGTTTCCTCCCTAACGAAGAAGATCCGATTCAATTTACAGCCTCTCTTAACTAAGTCAAACTAAATTGATGGCCTGCACACATTTTCATTAATCAAATAGTGTTATAGTTCTGTTTGGTGTGTTAAACTTCTTGCTCACTTTCCGAGTGGTTTTGAATGAAATCTCAGAAACTGACCCAAATTTTTTATTTGCCATTGTAAGCTTGTTTTATTTTTCTTTCCAGGGGTTAAACCTCAGAGTGTAGCCTATGGAAGGATGCTCCAAACCAGAGGTATTGAAATGCTGATATTTAATCTTTTGAGATTTAGATTCAAAAGGTGTGAACTCCTCTCTCTGAATTCTGGCCACGGTTCTCATCTCTGTCCCGGTTTCTGTGCTCCTCAGGTGTTGGTGTTGGAGTAAAACCTGGAGGTCAGTCTTTGTGCCAACAATATCCAGTAAAGTCTAGTCTGGTCATTACCAGAAAACCACCAATAAACAGATTCATTACCAAAATAAGCAAATTCACAAAAGCTGTATCATTTTTGACGGATTCAGAGGAACATAGTGTCCACAAGTGATTTCAGATTATTGAGATTTGACAAATCTGTCTGACACGTCTGTGAATGAATTAAGCGTGAATATAAAAAAAGTATTTCTATTTGCTCTGTTCAAATGAGAGTTTATAACATTTTATGGGCCAACACACCATCAGTCAAATCTAATATATTTGATAATTGTGAGAGAAGTGGAAACATCCTTTCTCTTTCTGTGTATTTCCCTTCATTAAACATAAATGTACACCTGGAAATAAAGGTGAGGATCACAGTTTCTTTTTTCCTATAGTTACAGGCGCCCTGGGAGCACTGGGGAGTCGCTACGGCTCTAAAGCAATGAAGACTGGAAGTATGTTTCCGATTTCTAACATCATGTTATCTTAACTGCAGCCTCAGATGAGTCAACTGTGCATTTGTATTTCTTTAACTCTCAGTTGGTCGTTATCCTGGGGCTCACCTGGGTGTCGGTGAGCTGCTTCCAAATCCTCAGTAAATTCTGCAACAGATAAACAGTTATATGCCAAAAAGGGACATTGATTCAACCTCATTTGGGTAAATGCTTGTATACCTTTCATGTGACCTGTGTTTCTCTTTGTTCTCACAGGAGGGTACAGATCTCTGGGATTAGGAGGGAAAACAGGCCTGAAACAAGGTGGCTATGGAGCCCAGGGCGCCTACGGTACATCACCCCCCCTTTGCACTGACAAACTATAATAAATCCCAGTTGTAGCATTCGGGTTAATTCTTTTTTGTGGTTTCAGGGGCCAGTTTGGGCACAGGCATGTCAATGGGGCCTGGACTTACAAATGGTCTGGGACTGGGCTATGGCCAGGCGGGGAAACGTGGTAAGACCTGAATATAAAATAATAAAAAGGCTCTACTGACCAGTAGATTACTCATGTAGACTTCGACATGAACAGGAGGAGGAAATGTCCTCATTCCTTCGCAAGAATTCATGTTTTTGGAAAGGTAGAGGACCAGTTCAGGCAGATGGCCGACCCCTCTGAGGATGCTCCTAGTGGATGCCTGTAAGAGGGATAATGAGATTTTGACTTTAAGAGAACATTAAATGTAATTTCTTGCCTTTTATTAGCATATTATTTTCTCATTGCAATATTCAAGGTATTCATTCATTGAACTCAGTGAAATTATGATTGTTTGAATAGGATTTCAACTTTCAAGTGACCCTGAGATTTAAAAATGTCCTGATTTAATAATGACTAAAGTCCAATTCCATCTAGTTTAGAAAATAGAAAATATTTTTTCCCTTGGCCAGCTCTCCATAATCGGACACATAAGCCTTTACATAATGACAAAATATTTGTGTGTAGGCTTCAATTCTCCAGACAAAGGGAAGTTTTCTTCTGCTGTCAGACAACAGTCAATCAAAGGTGTTAAAACTATATTTAAATGCGTCTGAACAGGAAAATTGGAAGTGCTTCTTGGTTGTTTTTTTAGGTTTTGGTGGAGCTGTAGAAATCTTGATGAGCAGCACATTATTCAAAACAGGAAACGGCTGCTGACTGATGAAATGCACAAAACCACTGAAACTTACGTCACACCTTTTTTTTCTTCAGCAGGACGCTTTAAGTTCTTTCTTTCAAGTCTTTTTAGAAACCCTTGACAAAAGTTGATATATCAGCCATGTAAATGTCTGCAAAACAGAAATTAACTCTGTTTTTCTGTTGCCTTCCAGTTTATGGTGGCCACGGCCCTCTTCCTGGTTAGTATCCATGCAATAATCAATGCATGTTCATATATTTATTCGCATAATTTATGCTATTAAATCTAAGTGAACACACTGACTTTAACTCACTGGTTTTGTGCTTTGCTAAGTAACTGACTCCCTCCTTGTGTGCCTGTGAACATGACATGAGGCATGGGGGGGGGGGCAGGTTGAATCTCAGTAAATAAGCGGTGTGTCCTTATTAAACTGAGTGCTTGTTTGGTTTAAAGATGAATCAGCTTCTTTGTCTGCTTCCCAGGATATGGACCTCTGGGGGGCATTGGCTATACTGGAGCACGACCTGGTGAGTGATGAGCCGCGTCTTCATCTCAGGGCCTGTCACTTAGATTATTCTTAGCCTTCCACCAACACACATCTTGCTATGTTGATTCACTGTCATGCATAAGCAAGGTTGTGTGGAGGAGAATTCTTATTAAATGTTGTGGTCAACGGGGTACACAAATAAAGCCATGCCCAGTTTGTGACTTTATATTGTCTCCAATACCCTGTTTGGTCTCACTTGCAAGAAAACAAGTTCAGGGACTTTGGTTATCCACATTTTAATATGTTTCTCACCAACCAAGCATGTGGGGAACAACAATATATATCTTTAAACTCATCACCAGCTCCAGATGTGCTCTTTGTGTGTCTCCGTCTGTCCTGTTTTGTGTCACGTTTGCCTTCAAACCTGTTGTCATGTCATTTTTTGATGTGAAATTCACATTTGATTGTATTTGCATGGAGTCACATCAGATCGGTACGACGTGACCATAATTCTTTTCAGTCTTCCTCTAAAAAGATGTGTATTTTCTGTGTTTGGTGAGTCTTGCATGATGCATGAGACCCCAGCTGCTTCCTCTGTGCTGTGAGTGAATCTACAGAAAAAGAAGTGCTGGTTGTCCTTTGGATTCATGATTGATTTCTATGGTTTATATTTTACTTTTATATTCCTATACTAAACTGTGTAATTTATTGCAAAATATTCACTTTCCTAAGTGCAGTATTTCATTCACTTATAAAATTTGGACCATTTCTAGAATCCTACAGCCTCTGGCACCATAAAAAACCCCTGGTCTTTAAAAGTTAAGGGAAAATCAAGAAAAAGGAACAAGGATCCATGAAAATCAGGAGCACACTTTCATTCACCTGAAGAAGCATTTTTGAGAATATTGTTGTGCTCATTTTCCTGACAAATTGTTGGATGATTTATTCCAAACTGACAGACAACAGGCTTTTGTATTTCCCATGTTAAACATATCTACATAATAAGCTTTCTAAAGCCCTGAGTTATCCTAATCATTTAACTGGGATTTAAAGCTTTGCAAAGGTGACTGTAGCATTAAAAAACAAACAAAAAGAGGTTTAGAGCTTAAACGGTTGAAGTGAGATGGGATATCCCAGTGAAAACAGGGTGCGTGTTATTTTTCCTCTGCCTCTCAGTGCACATGGGAAAATGTGAACAACAGAGTGAGTGACCACTCTTTGAGTGTCACACACTCCTGCTGTCTGTGTCTGCTTTAACATGTGTGTGTTTAATAGCGTTGTGCCGGTGTGTGTTGTCATGTTGTCGTCGTTGTGTCGACCGAATGAGGGGGACTGGTTCCAAAATTTGTGTTGTCCTGAACCCTAATTGAGGCAGTGATTCTGTCTCTGAAACTTTAGACTAACTTCAGACCACAAAGAGTTTTGTCTCGTCTCTCGCTGGTTTTTGGGGGGTTTCTTGCATTTAGGCAGAGCACGTTTGATACTGTTTTTCTTTTTCTTTTTTCTGAGCCCGGACGTGGTGATTGCATGATGATGTTTCTCTGCCAGGTGTGTCTGCGGCAGATTTGGGACCTGGGGTGGCCAGTCTGGGTCAACCCGCTCGAGATCTTACGCGAGAAAAGAGCAGAGCTCTAGGTCCCTTTTACGGATCGCGGCACAGAACTCTCGGACCCGAAATGCCCGACGTTAGGAGAGGAAGTTCGCTCGATCCCATTGTTCCACAGCTGCATGCGGGAGCTGAGGTCAAAAGCCTGGATCCAGTCATTCAGCCATCGAGGCTGCAACCTAAGCCAGATTATAAGAATAAAGAGCTCGATCTGATTCTGTCACAAGCACAGGGGGGAATACACGAGGAGCCAGCAGTTCCTAGGTTCCTGCCTGCTGATAAAGACACCAGCAGAAGTCGGGGTGCCGCCCCCCCTCAGGTTCACAGAGGCTCGGCCCTTCCTCAGTTTAGAAGAGCCAAAAACTGTGGCTCTGCCTCTGATTTATCAGCTGGATCGGACATTAATCGTCATGAGCTTTCGGGATCGGAAACTCAAAGGACCCAAAGTTCAGTCCCTGAACAAGGAGCAAGAGGCCCCCGACCTCCCCTCCACCAGAGTCCAGATGGCAGAAGCGACGCGTTCTCCCCCGGAGACGGAAAGGGAGCCGGAAACCTCTTATCTGCTCACGGAGCTTTAGCGACAGATCCAAAAGGACTGAAAATGAGTGCAGCTGTTGCTGTGGAGGACGGAGGGCGGAGCTTTGGACGAGTGGCTCCGGGAGCAGGTGGAACCCAAACTTTGAGTGTCCCATCACTGGGAGATGAGCAGGAAGCTCAACATCCATCTCAAGCCGAGCATAATGAGAAAAAGTCATTAGCTTCCCGATTCCCAGGGCAGACTGGGAGGAACACAGCAAGTAAGAGCAAAGTTTGTCTCCTTCACCGTCTTCATCTTTTTTTGTGTCACTCACTTCTGCTCCCCTCAAAATCCACTCTCTAGTCAGCATTTTTTAAATCTGCTCATTCTGAGCCTTAAAAGGGATTTTAGTCTTAGGTATTGAGTATTTATCCATCTATCTATTGGAAAGGGACTTGTGATGTCATCATGTCTGGGCTGGTATAATGAAGGTCTTAGGACTCAACACAAATTTTGTAGCCTATAAGAATAATGTTTACAAAAGTTTATGTTCAGCTTCTATATATGAGCTGCTATTCCTCATATTAATGCTCACGAAACCTGAACCCGTCCAGATTTTATGAGCATCGCCCATGTTTGCTTCTGTTGGCCGGTTCATTACTGCATAAGTTCATTTATTTACATTATTGTATATCTGTGACGCTCATCTGAGAGAATCAGAGTCAGCCATCTTCATGGTGAAGTGAAAATGAGAAGCTTGTGATATTTGATCACCTGGGGGGAGAGACCTGTCGGTTTTGGACCAGCTGCAGCGACCACTGGAGCTACACAGGAAATTCTATTTGAGTTTTAAGTTTCTGACAAGTGACTTTATGAGTGTAATCATCTGTTTTAGGGTGGAGACGGTGTAAGCAGCTGGATCTAACTTTTGGTCTTAAGAATATATTATTTTATTACGACACTGTTATACATATAGTCTTTCTAAAATTATACATATATCCCTTCAACATCATGCTAAGCCCATTTTTCACTGATTGTATTCAGTTATAGTACATATTGACTGAGCCTACCTCTAAAATTTGCTATATGCATCTTTTTACAAAAGAAATTATGAGCTACGAACTTTCTATAGTTTTTATAGCTGATGATGACAGTATAAAACTGTAAGACCTTAAAAAATATGAATGTAGCTTCCCTTCATGTAAATCCTTCTGTTGACTTTTTGTTTTAACTTTAGATCCGCAGTATTTTTTTCAGCGTACAGTTAAGGCTTTAATTGCTCTGTTTGCTGATATAAAAACAGTGCGATGATCTTTAGCACACAAAGGATTCTGCAGCATTCCTATCTTAAGCCCGGCGCATTATGTTTCGTTCGTGCCTGTGTTTGATGCAGCTGATCTCTTAATAACTGGTTTAGATGTCAGGCCAAAGAGGTTGAAATCAGAGGAAATGAAGACTTCATCCAATCTGTGTTGGTTAATCTGCTTTGGTTTTCTCTCCATCTATCAGAGTGCTTTTGCGCATATCTCATTGTTTGTCTGTGCGTGTTAGGCTCCTGTCCTAATGGTTTAACATCTGTTTTTGTGGACTTTAGGATTCACTCAGATCAGAGTTACATTCCAGTTGAGAAAAAGAAAAGAAACTGAAACTACAACATCTGGCTATGATGCACAAACAGACATTTATGGTTTCTAGTTTCAGTTCTTTGCCTGTAACGCACACTGAGATACGACTGAACCAGCTTATTTACGTTACTGTTTAGTTTCTTTAGGAACCACACAACAGTATTCAACAGTTAAGAAACACAAACAAAGAATAGAAAAGGGTATGGAGTTGCCTGCAGTGATTTCCCTCTGGATCTCTTTACAGGTTACATTGGTGGAGCAGGAAACTACCCTGGAGTTGGCCTGGGCACTGGGGGCTATGGAGCGGGTAATAATCCATGTGACGGTGGAGATACACACTAGATACACACCACCTCTGGTAATCATGCCCCATGCTCTGCCCACAGGTCTGGGTCAGGGCGCATACCTGGGGGGTGCAGCTGGAAAACTTGCAGGTAATTGTAAGATTTTCCCTCTTGGCGATTTGGGCGTGAGAATGATGACCACATGTGCTTAATGGAGATTTTTGTTTTTAAGTTTTACGTCTCTTTTTCCTCCAAACATATTTCAAACACCAGCTGGAGCGGCTCTTGGACAGGGTGGATATCCTCTGGGAGGTGCAGGGAAAACAAACGGTGAGTCTCAGGGATGGTTCTCCTCTTTATTCATCACCTCTGTGCACTCTTTTGCTGTAAAAGGTGAAACTTTTGATATCATTTGATCATATTTGAGGCGAAAACTTTATATTTACTGGCTGCTGCCAAAAGCTGGAAGTTTAAAAAAGATGCCGCAGCAAAATTCAAATCCAGCCTGTAGCAAAAAGACAACTTTTCCTGTCACGGATTCTGAAGTCGATTGCAAAACACACTCTGTGATTTGCTTATTAGGAGAATTCAGTTGAGCTCAGAACAGGAACTGGGCTGTTTGCACGCAGCCGGACAGCAAAAATTCGGTTACTAGTCCTACTTTGCCTTGTAAACGCGTCATTTGCCTGTGAAACGACAAGCTCCTCCACAGCTTCCTTTGAAAGTCACGCCAGCACTTCTGCTGTCACCCCTTCTACTGAGTAATCAGAAAAAAGGGATTTAGAACAATGACGAGAATCGCTCTGTTCCTCGTCTTTGTTTTTTATCCTTTTACCAACTTAGAGCAGGAGAAAATAGTTTACCTGCTTCAGTCTCAGTCTGTGTCTCCCCCCTCAATCTGAAATGATCTGAAATGTGTTGTCACAGGGTATGGTGAAGGAGCCGCGGGACACCTTGGTACCATGGCGGGTAACGGCTTCGGTAAGTGGGAGCTCATCAGAACGTGCACAGAGAAATTAAGACTTTTGTACGATTGTCACCAGAACAAACAAACAAACAAAGGCTGTTCAGTCTGAAACGCTGAAGCGTTTGCCTTGAAAAGAGACATCAGTTTGAAATGACAGGGGGTCTTTCTTGTTCCTCGCTGCTGTCAGCCTCAGCCCGCATCAAAGCCGTCGCTCTTCATTTAAAACAGCCGTTTCCCTTTGTGCTGGCAGACTGTGTTTTGTTCTCGATGTTGTTGGAGACACTGTTGTAAAAGCTTTTTGGCATCCATGCAGCACTCACAAGAAAATCCCTATCCTTGTCCCACTATGTTCCATCTTCCCTCAACAGGTTATGGGAACGGATACGGTGACGGTTATGGAGCCGGTGAGTGTCCACCAAACAAAACCCCAAAAATCAGCCGGGGCTAAAATGGTACCCTTATTGCACTTCATGACCCCTTAGATCAAAGGCAACATTAGTGCTAATGAGAACTATGTTTCAGGGCTTGGTTACCCTGCAGAGTTAGCTGATGGTGCAGAGAACAAAGCAGGAAAGAGTGAAGGTAACAGTGACCTGCTGAAAGCCCGTTTCAGAGGATGGCACTAACCCGTAGCTGCTTAACCTCTGGCCTACACCTGACAGCTGTAAAAGCGAGAGGCTGTCTGCTTGATGTAGCTGCTGTGGTGCTGTGTCCACCGGGTGTAGCTATGATGTCTGATTCATTGACGCTGGCCAGTTTCATGTGGTGTTTTCTGATTTCCTGCTCATGTAGACGCTTTCATTTAGGTTTCTTTTAGAGTAAACCGATCCTACAATAATTGCTATAAAAGATTTTAACTTGACGTTGTCCTTTTTTCTCTGATACTTTCAGCCCATGGAACAGGAGGCTATGCTGGACAAGTCCAGGGGGGATATGGTAAGGATGGGCACCCAAAACCTGCCCAACACACACCTTTTACCCCATAATACCCTCAGGAAGGCCCGAAATGCCACAGAATGAGGAAGAGGAGCAGCTTTTAGCCCTCATCTCCCAGCCTCTTACCTCACGTCCCGACTAGCCCGACTAGCTTTTGTCGTGTTGTTGTAAGAGCATATTAGAGATTGCCCTTTTACACTTTAATGATAGCTTCATTTAAGTGATTTAAGAGTGAAAACACTTGTGTTGTGAATATATTCTGTTTGATTCTGTCCATTTAGTCTAGCAGAGGGAAAGACATGAGCCAGTTAACTGCTCAGTAAAAAAGAAAAAAAAAGTCCATTATCTAATATGATGTTTCAGTCACATGTTACATTGTTTAGACGCTCCTATTAAGCCAGCACATGGCCAGATGAGGACATAATCTTCAGTTAGCAAACAGCTGCGCTGTTTTTTTTAGAGAATCTCAGTGATGCTGATGTGTCTGTGTGTCTCAGGAGCCCTCGGTGCAGGAATGGAGTCAACCGGTGGAAAATATGGTGAATACGTCGGTTCACTCGGCCTCGTTCTTCTCTCGAGCTATTAGTCAGACTTGTCCTTGTGGCTTGTTTTTTTTTGTTTGTTTTTTGCATGAGTCAGCGTTGAGGCAAACTTGACAGCAGAGAATTTGCAGGTTAAAGTGAGAAAATGTGATTCTGTCTCTGTGCAGGGGGGGGAGCTGCTCAGGTCCCTTATAATCCCGTGATTCCGGCTGGAATCGAAGGTATGATCTGCACCCTGCAGCTGTAATTATTGTAAAACGGGATCACCAAGGCATGGAAACAAACTCAACCAGTGTGTTTATTTTGCTCGTGAAACAGGGTTAAGAGCCCCTTTTCGACGTGACCCAGTTTATACAGACAAAAGAAACACCGGGAGACTTTGTTGTGAATAATTTACACCAGACTTGTAAACTAAAATGCCATCATGTTAGTTTAATGTGGGCGTGCTTTTTGGCTGGTTACAAATTATGATGCTCCTGGGAGTCTTTTTTTTTCTCAAAAAATATCAAAATCCTTTGATTTCGTGAGACAATATCCGATTATGAAAGGAGAAAAAGATGATTATCATGGGTTTGTTTGTCATCTCTGTAGGTGATGGCGGCTACCCATATCCTGCTCAGCAGCTCAATCTTGCCGCTCAAGGCACCAAAGCCGCCAACAAATATGGTGAGAACGAGTGACTAAGTGTGAGCAAAAGAGTTACGGGCTGCATGCGATGGAAAAAAGGCCCTGCGGGGGGGTGTTAGGTCGGCTGTTCTTTCACCGGTTCACACCCTCCGTGGTTACAACCACAACTTAGGAGTTTCAACAGATAAGAAAACCTAAACACATTTGTTTTTATCTCTGTTTTTATGACTTATAAGGGTTTAAATATCTATATATTTTGTGTTGTTTCAGGGGCTGCTGCAGGTTACGGAGTTCAGCAACCAGGTGACAGCATGCACACTTTTTCTGCATGCATGAACAGTCACACACAAATTCTCATGAGCAAACCGAACGTCTTTTTTTTTTTTCCCACCAGTGCCTCACATTTTTTCTATACCCTGACATGAGCTTCACAGCAGTAATTATGTTTTAGTGTTTGCATCTGTCCTGCTCTTTGGCCTCAGCCTGTTGTATTTTTCTTGTTCAGGTTATGGCGCCCAGCTTGGAGCAGTTCAAGACGCTTTGGGTAAGCCAGAAAAGAGGCATCCTCTTTCATGATCAACTTCCGCTCCCTTTGTTGTTTCCAGTGATTTCATTCGACGCGCTCTTGCGTAACGCTGCTTTGACAGAACACGGAGCGAAGCCTTTTTTAAAAAATTCTCCATAAGATGAGTTTCCTTTTCAAGCTGGGGTTTAGTGTGTTTTAACGTTAAAGGCGTACTTTCTGCACAGATGGGTTTGGTAGGAAATATAAACTCTGTTTGCACTATATTTGTAGTGTTAACATGCTCTAATTGTGGAATTACGCTCGCACTACTTTTCCAACATAAGCATGCATTATGAATTATTTTGCTCTTCAGGGTATGTGGCATGCGGGGTGACTCAGCTGAGCTGCTGGCTTTAATGTGCCTGTCAAATCCAGTTTTCTCATCCTCTCTGTTTCCCTCTCAAAACGCTGAATTGAGTTTCTTTTAAATCTCACAGGAGAGCAGACAGGCAAATACGGAGTCAACCCAGTCCTTGGTAATGGGTACAAAGGTGAGAATAAAGGACATTTTGCTTATTTTTGCTAAAATTTGAAGATCCAGAGAGAAAGGTCTTTCAGCTGCACACCTGCAGGTTGTTTGAAATGCTGAGTAGATTAACTAAAGCTGTCCCCAAAGTCAAAAGTCGGCAAAATATAAAGGCTTGTGATACATAAAGATAAACTATCGTGTCATGTTTTGTCCTCGCGTCTATGTAAATTGTGCGGTTGTTTGTAGTTTTCTTATCTTGATTCACCATCTGTGTGTGTGTGTGTGTGTGTGTGTGTGTGTGTGCGCGTGTGTGTCCCTTTTTTCTGGTGTGGTGTGTTTTAACAGGCTAAGTGAGAAGACGCGTTCATATGGAAGTGGATCATCCCCTGAATGGTTTTGATGTCATGCTTCTTTAGTGCTTTTGTGCACGTGTGTGTTTGTGAGTCTTCATCCTCTGGTGTGCTCTTTGTCTTTTGACTCCAGTATTTCTCTGTAAGCCATTGTTTGTTTCTCATGTAGATTTTTTTTGTTTCTCAGCTGTACCTGAGCAGGTCATTTCTGCTTAAAAGAGTGGAGAATAATGAACATAAAGGGGCACATGGGCAAAAAATGTCTTTCTACACAATGAAAATCAGTATAACGATTTTACTGTTTTAACTCAATAAATGATACTGTAAGATTATGTTATGCGGACGTGTCAAAACAATTGACCTCATATTTGCCTGAACACAGTTATCTGAAATAGACACAATGATACCTTTTCTGTGCACAGGAAGCTTTTCACTTCCTGTCTCTGGTGGGGCGACGGTGCATAGCCGAACCAAAAGCAAAAGTACTGAGACAAAACATCAAATGCTTCAGCAGTTCATATGTTTTGCTTTTATTGTGGATAAATAAACAACAGTACAGAGAGACACAGCGTGATATGTGGGATAGAATACACAAAAAAATATCATTACATGTTGTGAATGCTTGCGGACACAATAAAATGCTTGAAAGTTACACTTGTTTAAAATATTTTTGAATATAAGTTATGAGACATCTATAAAATAATGATGAAAGGCAAACAGCAGCAAACTCACAAGCAAAAATTGAATCTATTGCATAATAATTCACCACCTTGGTAAAGGCCAGGCTACATAATATAAACCTTTAATGGCTATTTAACATGCAAATGCATATTTACTCATCAACAAAAAAACATTTTCAATCTATTTTCACATGTTTAAAGAAATGCAGTTAGGTTATTTGAGTCTTTGACGATTGTCAGTCACAGATCTATTGAATTTGCAACTGATTGAAAATTTAAATCCATATTAAACTGAAAATAAATGATCTTATGGTCAGGTGGGAGTAAGCTGAGACTAATAAAAGCTGAATTAAATGGAATGTGTTGCTGAGTTTGGGCCCAGTCGTGCAGATGTGGCACATGTGGTTACATCACTCTGCGGGAACGCTCTGGTTCTTTAGAGAGGTTCCTCCATCCAGGAACACGCCCATCTTCAGCAAAATGGCCTTTGGAACGGGATGGGCGTGCCGGGAGGTGTAAAGCCCTCTCAGACTGTGGCCCATCGGTGAGGGTTTATAGTCCGTGCATTGATCCCCGCCCAGGCCCGGGGCACATTTCACCTCCCACTTGTAGTAGAGGCGGCCGTGCTGCAGGGCGCAGAGGTCCTCCCGGCCTCCTGCGGACAGGGCGGTCTGACACTCCCCCAGCAGGTCATCGTCCCAGTTACTGTCCTGGTCCCAGACCTCGAAGCGCACGATGGGGTTCGCCGACACGTCCTGGAGGCCCAGGTCGACGATGGTGCCCCAGTGCGGGTCGTTGGAGTTCTGAATGACCGGCGTGCGCTGAACCAGCTGACCGGCGAAGGACACCTTCACGTAGCCGTCCGTGGCCGTGGTGTGGTCGCCCCACAGCCCCGCCCCCCGCTGGACGGTCAGCACCACCCGCGCCACGCCCTTACGGGTGGGGCAGCAGTCCCGGTTCACGGCGGGCTCGTTGTGGCACTGGCAGACGCAGGGGTCTCCGGACTGGCTCCGGACGCCGGCCCGACAGCGCCCGCTGCAGTTCCTCCACAGGCCCCTCTCCAGGATGTAGTGGCTGATGGCCGCGCGCAGGTTCTTCCTGGCGGGGTTGCCGGTGGGCAGTAGCTCGTGAAGGGAGTCCAGGGAGTAGGAGATTATATCTGGGTTCTGGGGTAGCGTGTTCAGCCACTCCTTGTAGGCTGATGGGTCTTTCTTTGCGGAAAAGAGAAGGTCGGGCTCTGTGGTATGACCCCCTCTAATTTCTGTAAACCTGTCAAGGGGACAACGTCTTAACATCTGATTTTGGGAGTTTTAGGGAGTATGATAAGACAGGTCAGAAAAGAGGAACGGAAATGTTCCCTACCTGTCGTTGAAGAGATCGGAGAACGACTTCTTGTCCTCCCTCTTGTCGCTGTTCTTCTGGCAGTGCTTGGTTTCAGCCCTCACGCTGACTTTGATGCTGGCGGAGGCCTCGGCCTCCAGACACATCTGCACCTCCTCTGCGCTGAGACCCTCCAGACTGGTCTCACATTGCCTGATGCTGGTGACAGATTCGATGCTCCCCCCCAGCTTCACCTGCAACGGAACATTCAAACGCATCCTGTTTGCTCAGATGTGTTACTTTCTTTCTTTTTCTTTTTTTCAGAAAATGTTAGAACACCCACTCAGGAGAGATAAAAACCCACTCACTGAAAACCTTTACACTGTGCAAAATGTAACAAGCAGATGATGAGAAAGAGTAAAATAGACCAATATTGGATTCATTACAGACAACCAAATTGAATATTGAAAATTAAATGTCTTTCTGGTCACAATTATGGAGATATTTCAGAGTGTTGTTCCTCCATTTACAATTGTGAAGGCTTTGAATGTCCCACCAGATACATTTTCCAGAGGGAAATGTAATCAGTTCATGATTTAAAAGCCCTCATCTCTAAAGGTTTGGGGCTGCATTAGTGCCTCTGGAGCACATCTGGAAAGGCCCCACTCATGCTGAAAGGCACAAACAGGTTTCAGAGCAACATATGCTCCCAACCAGATGATGTCTTGCTAGACAGTGGAATAAAAGGATATGTCCAGAATTTTTCACATGTTGCTGCGATTCAGTTTAAGATGAGTTAGTATTTTTGATTAAATGAAAAATGGTGTCTCTTTCAGAACATGTTCTCTTTTTTTAAATACTTTTCTGAGTAGAATATTGGTCTCTGACAAACTGTTTTCAAACTGGATTGGAAACTTAAGAGCCAGCTAATACCACAGACAGGGTTCAAGTAATAATATGAATGCAGGACAATTTCCTCCAAAGGTGGCATTAATTTAGTTGAAACACTGCTGCTTTAATTCACCTTTGTGATATAATGTGTGCCGAAGTTGTCGATGAGCTTGTAAAACCGCTGCTTGAATTCTGGTTTGTAAACTTTGGGGAGCTGTTTCACTGCTGTGCGGAACTCTCTGTGCAGCTTTGGTGTGCTGGAGACTCGGTAGCTGTTTTAACGGGGAAAGACAAACAGGAAGTTAGTGTAAATTACTCTAATTCAACGTGGGCCAGATCTTCCTGCCCCTACCTGTAGAAGTCACAGGACATGCCGTTGCTGGTGAAGCTGAACTTGTCGTTCTTCGTTTTCCCCATGGAGTAATCAGCAAGTCTAGAGTGGGTTCCAGCCAGCATCAGGGATCCACTATTTTCGCCTACGTTAACTTCCAGGCCAGTCTTCCAGTCGTTCTCAATCGAATTGGAGCTGGAACTGACCAGGGACTCGCTGGACTTGTGCAGTTTAGTGGACACCTTTGCACTGCAGGACTGCTTTGCCCTCCAGTCCACTACTGAGAGGGGAAGCTTCTGCTTTTTGCCCTCCAGGTAGGGGTTGCTGCACAGGGTACAGGTTTTATCCTTGTGTTGCCACTGATTCATGTCAAGCAGGAAAGCCCCTTTGCGTACCATTTTGGTAATATCGAAGCCCTCCCCGGCCAGAGTGGAACCAGGAGCAAATTCTGCCTCCTGGCACTGCCGGGGGGTCCCCTGTGAGCAGAGCCCATGGGTACTCCGAGGGAGGCACAGGAGGAAACCGGCAACCACGCATAAATTTAACAGCAACATGTTGCTGTTGAGTCGGATGATGGCTGCAAATTGAAATTTTAAAAAAAGCGTTAATTGTACAAGCATTTCTCTGGTACTTCTCTCTGAGTACCACAGGGATCTGTCTGGGAATGGTGGGCAGATATATTCTACTAAAGTCCTTTAATGGAGATCGCTCAAACCAGTGACACAAAGGAAAATAAATGCTAAGAGAAGCATAGAGGAGAATAAGTTCCCCTGCGTATTTTCTAGTTTGAAAAATAATGAACACATTCCTAGTTTTTAAGGTCTTGGAAACACTAGACGGAAGCAAAACTTTTATTGAAATTAGCTCGAACATCAGAAATGTGTTATTTATTAGAAAATTATTGCTGAATATCTTGCAAATTATGCGTTAATCTCTCATGTCTTAGTGTCCAAAGACTGTTTATACATTCTGCCCAATTATTTGGCAAATTGTATTCCTCCGGCCTAATTCAGCTAAAAATATAATGAAACTCTAAGTGTTTAACAGAGAACATTTGAATATCGTTCCATAGCATAACATTACAATTATTAGTGCATGTTGAAAAGTGTTTGGAACCAATGTGACCGCGTTTCATTAGATTAACTGCCGTGTGTGAGGGAGTCCCATGTATCCATCTCACAAGGGTTTTACTTTTTTTTTTGTTTTCTGAACAAAATTGTCCCAATTTTTCTTATTTCTTGACAACTTGCAGCTGCTGAGTAGTTCTGGACACTCTCCAGATAAAAGAGGGAATCTGGGCTATTCACTGTTTGTGAATAGTTGTTTTAAACCAGAAAAAGGGCTCTAGAGTGAATTAGCGGGCGGGGAACAGATGCAATACGATGAAACACATTTAAATCACCACGATCAGGAAGATCTGGTTAAAGAGAGGTGGCATGTGACCGCTTGTCTCAACAACATTCTCCACAGGTGATGCCCGGGTAGAAAGGCAGAGAATCACCCAACAAACGCTTTTCAGTTAAGATCCTGATATAAAATGTCAGAAAATGTATACACTTATTCATTTATCCTTCGGTTATAGATGGAACATTTCTCAAATTTTGAAGCCTTGTCAAATGCTAGCAATTTCCTAACTACAGATGTAATAATCGTTACATCAGTCATGTGTCAACGACCTCAAACTCATTTTAAAGTCTGGCTTCTCCAGCTGCAACATGACAAAATGTACCCGTACAAAACATTTCAAAGAGGAACCCAAAGATGGTTGCTTAGTATAAGTATTCGAGGTAGAGAGCACATCTCAGACAACTTCAGAAACAACTCACCGTCGTCCCGTCTGCTCGAGCCGAGTTCGTGCAACTGTCTGTGCTGAGTGTGACATCAGGGGCAGAGTCAGAAAAGCCGAGCAGGAGGTGGTTAGGGGGTGAGGTGACAGTGGTCTCCGAGGGGAGGGGGGAAAAAGTGGGTTTGACGGTTTCATTTGTGCTGAACTGGATGAGCCACTTATCTGTTCAGACAAACTTCTACTGAAATATGAAGTGCGGGCCCAGTTTCCCAGTCAGAAAAAGCAACCGCAAACCTGCCATTTCTCTGAAATGACGCCTGGCCTGAGCCAAACTTGGTGAGGTGAGGACACTTTCAAGCTCTAATATTTAATTTTCTACCTTTATGTCCCATCCAAAGTATCTGGTTGATAAATACTTAGTTTGGCCCTGTTGGAGGCATTGTCACATAAAAAAAAAACACATTCTCGACTTGAAGAAAGAAAATGTCTTTTATTGTTTGTTAAGTTCTGAAAACTGATAGAGAAAAAAAATCAAAAGCGCAGAAAATGAAGCTTTATAAATGCATGAATCCAAACAAATTGATGTTGTCAGATCTCTTTCTGGAGTCACATATCGAGTAAGCCAGAAGTTAACAGTGAAAATGCACCCAACACCAAAATGATGTAGAAAAAAAAGCTAAATAAGATGAGCATAAACATTTCATCATAAAGCAGAAATTAATTAATACTTCACTGACCCACAAAATGAACCCTACTCGCATTTAAAACTATTCTATCCTTAAAAGTGACACATTAAATCAGCATGAAAACTATGATAGATCTCCTATGACATGAACTTGCCGCTATTCACCATTTTGTCTCCTCAGTAATCTGTTTCCATCTTTTGTTGAGCACTTACTGTCAGCTGTTTTTGATAGTACCCTTTGCTCAGACTGACCATCGTGACTTATTTTACTGTCACGGCCACGCAGGCGGACTAAACTCGGCCCTTGTCTGTCACAAACACACCCATTTCCTTCAGGATGGCCTTTGGAATGGGATGGGCGTGACGGGACACGTAAAACTTCCTGAGACTCTGACTCATAGGAGACTCCTGATACCGCTCGCATAATCTACCGCTCAGACTGGGAGCACACGTCACCTCCCATTTAAAGTACAGCTTGCCATGATTCAGATTACAGAAATCCTGTTTGGTTCCTTCACTTAAAACCTGCTCGCATTCTCCCAGATTATCGTCATCCCAGTTATTATCCCGATCCCAAACCTGAAATTTCACTTTGGTTTGCTGAGACAGAACCTGCGAGCCCAGGTCCACAGCCATATCCCAGCGAGGGTTATTGTCGTTGAAAATGACCTTAGAACGATACTCCATTCCGTTGAAAAATACCTTCACATAACCGTCCGTGGACGTGGAGTAGTCGCCCCACAGACCGGTCGCCCGTTCCGCGGTGATGACGACCCGGGCCGAGCCCCTTTGGGTGGGGCAGCAGTCCCGGTTGACGGCGGGCTGGTTGTGGCACTGGCAGACGCAGGGGTCCTTGGAGTCTGTCCGGATTCCTGCCCGGCAGCGTTCGCTGCAGTTCCTCCACAGACCCTTCTCCAAGATGTAGTGGCTGATGGCCGAGCGCAGGCCGCTGCTCCGGGTGGTGTTCTTGGGGAAAAGCTCGTGCAGGGACTCCAGCGAGTATGAGATGATGTCGGGATTCTGCGGAAGCGATTTCAGCCATCCGCTGTAGGCCGATGAGTTTTTCTTAGCGGAGAAGAGAAGGTCTGGCTCTGTGTTAAGACCCCCTTTTATTTCTGTGGATCTGTTGAGGAAATGGGTTGAACTGCTGAGCCAGAAGAATGACCAAACAGGCATTGACATAACTTGCATAGAGAAAGACCGTCAATGGAGGATTTCACCATTTTGAAGTTTGACACATTTTTTATTAAAGGCCTTCTTTGATTTTGAGGCACAAATGAGCTGAAAACATGACAGAGGATGTGAGGAAAACGCGCCATACCTGTCGCTGAAGAGGCTGGAGAAAGCCAGCTTACTCTCAGACTTGTCGATGTCCTTCTTACAGTGGCTCTTTTCCACTGCCGCGGCAGCATTGATGGTGACAGATGCTTCAGCTTTGAGGCAGGTCTGCACCTCCTCCACGCTCAGCCCCTGCAGACTGGCCTGGCACTGACGGATGCTGGTCACAGACTCCACGCTTCCCCCCAGTTTCACCTTCAGGGTAGAAAAAAACAGCAACATTTCTGCCGGTGGGCTCCGAAATGCCGCTTTGCCCACGTCTGTGCTGCTTTTTCACCTTGGTGATGTAATGTGTGCCGAAGTCATCGATCAGTTTGTAAAACTGTTCCTTGTTTTCTTGGCTGTAGACTTTGGGAAGCTGCTCCACGGCTTTGCGGAATTCTCTGTGCAACTTGTGATTCTTGTGAACCCTGTAACTGATTTCATAGATAGCGAAAGCAGGAAAATGGAGTCACCAGACAGCATTTGCTCTGTACAAGTCACAGTCAGGGTCTGATCTCCTCACCTGTAGTACTCGCAGGAGATGCTGTCGCTCGTGAAGCTGAATTTGTCATTCTTTGTTTTCTCCATGGAGTATTTGGACAGTTTGGAGTTGGTTCCGGCGAGCATCAGAGAGGGGCCTGTTTTAAAACCTAAACCTACCTTCCAGTTGTTTTCAACGGAAGAATCGATGGAACTGAGCAGGGACTCGCTGGACTTGAAGAGCTGAGAGGACACCTGCGCGCTGCAGGAGCCCTTTGCCCTCCAGTCCACCACAGACAGGGGCAGCTTCTGCTGCTCGCCGCGCAGAAAGGGGTTTTTGCAAAGGGTGCATTTACCATTTTTGAGTTTCCACTCCTCCATGTTGAGCACAAAGGCTCCTTTGCGCTCCATTCTGGTGATGTCGAAGCCCTCTCCGGCCAAATTGGTACCTGGAGCAAACTCAGCCGCCAGGCACTTCTGGGGTTTCCCCATCTGACAGGACTGCCACGAGCACAGAGGGAGGGAGAGCAGAAGGCCGGCGGGGAAGCACAGTCTCAGAAGATACATGTTCCTGTTGAGTGATTGAAAAGAAAGTTGAACAAAAATGAGCCAGGCAACTTTGCTGGTTGGACAAGCCTCACAGAGTCCTGTGTTCATGTGGCTTCCACAGTAGTTTTCCTGTGAGTGGAGTCAGCTTTGGCATACTTCTGAGCATCTGAGCTCAGAAGTATGCAGCCAAACATACTTCTGAGCATCTGAGCTTTGCATCGAAACAGAAAGTAGTGAAACTGAAACACTCAAATATGAACATATGTTTATGTTTAGGATCCTTATTAAACGGGGAAGCCACTTGGAAAAACAACTGAGACCCTGCAGAAAGCCTATGCTCCATCCATCAGGGCACCAGGCATCTATCCTAAAGACTTCTTTATCTACCATTTTGAGCAGGTATCTCTTGATTTTGTGTTTCTCAACTCCAAACAGGTCTCTAAGGTGAATCCCGTTTCGGATTGTGATGATTTTTTAAAAATATTATACTTGTAAATGTACTTGAACTTTGAAGGACTTTAAAGTAAATTACCATTCAGATATTATATGATAACTTTAGCATTATTAACATTATACATAACTGCAAAAGGTCTGAACTTGAGACTATTTGAAAATAATATGATTAGACTCACCTTGCCTGATGTGTGCCTGAGAGATGCATGACTCAGACCACATCAGCAACAGTCTTTATATATTAAGTACGAATCAACAAAGTATGGGAGGATGAGGGTGAGGTGACAGGGGGGGGGTTACCGTACTTTCATTGGTTGATTGATGGAAAACCAACATGAGTGGCCATAAGTGTTAAAACCAAAGATGTTTGCAAACCTGAACCTGTTGCATAGCTGTGCTAAATGTACATTTATGGTGATATTTTCTTTTTCATGCACCAGCGTTACATGGAAGTCAGAAGACTCTGAAAAAGAGCATTGCACCAACTTTCAGATGATGCATGTTTGTTGAGAATCGTAACACTTTATTACAGAATCTGTTTTTATAAAACTATTAGAAATTTTACTCCTTGAAGTTCTTTGCGTGTTTTTAAGAGGAAAGAAGGTGATTTCCCTTATGCATTTAATGCTGAAATGATATGAGAAAAAATATTCAAAACTGTTTATTAACTACTAAACAAATGACCGAATAGGTGGAACAGTTTGCTGGGTGTTACTTTTTTGGTTCACACCGACTTTCGTTTGAGCCCACGGTCCTGAAGTCAGCGACAGAAACACTAAGTCAACAAGTGTGATGTGTCACTGTTGGACAGGGGGCGAGGGCAGGGGAAAAATCCCCTTATTCAATGTAAAGATAAAAACATGATTGTGGGTTTTAGGTTCAATATATTTAGAACTTTCAGCAAAATTCCTTAAATTGATTACGTTTTGCTGCGTATAACTTCTATATTTGATGGCTGAACAGAAATTCGGCCTTCATCTTTGTATAATATATGATTGTGAAGTTATTTTGAAGATGAGGGTGCAAAAATGCACACCAGATCAAACCCTGATGATTCACATGAGTTCCTCTCCATGTCTGTAATCCAGTCAGAAAAATGGGCATTTTCACATCAGTGAGTTATGTGAACAAACAGCCACCATAATGTGTCTGCAGAGCTATTAAGCAGAAACTACGATTAAAAAAAAGATAATCGGTTTTGATATGAGAACATAGTGTAACTGGAGCTGAAAAGAACTACCCGTTGCTTATTCAGAGTAATAATGATTACGTTAAACATTTCTAAAATATTTCCCCTTAATACATTAATGCTGATATTTTCTTTTCCTAATATTCACACAGCTATCAATAAGGTCTATGGGCTTCAACAAAGCACGAGCAGTTCGATGCATCTCATGCTAGGCTGAGTAAAAAGTCTGATAGTGTCTCCACTAAATGCTGATAAAGAGATTATGTGGCATCTCTGTTTTCCTGTTCCATTTTTTGTGTTTGTTTGTGCTCAATTAGTACCATAATGTAGTTTGTCAGCTTGTTGCACAATGTATTAAAGAAACAATGTGAATGTAACCTGAGAATTTAAAGCTCTGATCATTAGGTCATTGAGAAAATAAAGCAAGAGGGTGTTTGCATATGGGGGTCCAGCAGGTAGAGCAGTAGTTGATGGAAAATTATTCAAAATAGTTACATTTGACTGCACTAGACACATCTAAGCAATCATAGAGACTGGTCCCTCACTTTGGATCTTTTTGAATGGGTCTGAAAAGCCAGTTTTTGTCAATGCATCATGCTTTATAGTTCCTCACAGCCATAATAAGCAGAGACCTTTTAACATCTGCATACTAATTTGCAAGGTAAGGCCAGGTAAGGTGAAACTGCAAATGCAAATCCTGGTCGGTCTTTACTCCACCGAAGCCCTGTGGCAAACTGATGCCTCTAAGCCGTCGTTCTCGGTGTTCGGTGGCCCACACCAGCTGCAGGCAGTGAGTCAGTAAATGTAAGCATTGACTACAACAGTTCGCTTTGAGCCACCCGGGGACCAGCTTAATCACAGCAAGAGTTTAGAATTACAGGCAGAAGTCAAAGAGTGACGAACTGCTGAGCGGTTGAGAGGTTGAATGACTGGGGGCCCAAACACATGACTCACTGCGGATGTTTCGAATCCAAATTATAATCACACAAGAACAAGTTAGTGAATTCTCTAAAAAATGGACATAAATTGAATTTTTATCTCTCAAGCAGCAGAGTGAACAGGAGAGAGGCTGAAACATGCATATCAGATGGAGGCATTTGATAAAATTGTGTGACACAGAATTTTTAACCACATTTGATTTTATCACCACAGAGTTTTGCAGAAATCCTTGTCATTTAGTCTCAGCAGCAGAGAGGGGACAGAAGAGGGGCTGAGTTGCGATTTGGCTCAGCTATGATTGTCGGGGGAGTCCTGCTGAGTCAGCATATCACCAAATTCTGAAAGAATAAAACAGCCTTTGAACACATCTGATGCGTTTCTGGTATGAAAAATTCCTGAATCTGCATGCAAATAAAAAAAAGTGTTATGTGCACATCTGGGTTCTTTGTGGCTTCCTTTGGGTTAAATGGGTGACTAAAAATTAGCCCTGGGAATTTTTAACTTATTCGTCTCATTGATGGAGTGGTAGGTATCGATAAGTGAGAATATATTAATACAAGTCCCCTTTACAAACAGTCAACATATGAACCAGTTTAGTTGAGACAAGATCTGGTTGAGACTCTCGGAACAGGAAAACTGCCCTCTTTGTCTTTATGAATGTGTAGCCATTTTTGATAGAATTGAAATAATAATTAAAATCCATTGAGAGCTGTCACAAACCGCCATCAGCTTTTCTTCACATTTGATGACTCGTGTGTTGTTGTGGGACTTGTTGAATGATCCATTTGCCTCCTGCTGCTGCCCTCTCCCCTCAGGTGCATTTATTCAATATCTTGAACAGCCAAATGAGAACAATCTCTCTCACTGACTGACAGACTGACCTGACGCTGAGTTGGGGCGTCAAATTGGCCAAAAATAACACAGACTGTCTCTGACAAGGCTCTTGGCCCCTTGTAGGTTGAAAACACAAGAGTGACAGATGTTAACAGATCCTCCAGATGTGCCCGATGGCTGATTATCAGCTTGGTGGACAAGAGCTTTAAGAGGATTACAAGTCATCACCTGGTGCCTTCCAGTGCTCCTCTATGACCCACAGCATGGAGCCAATCCTTCACTGTGATGACAGCTACTTGCACCCTGTGATGAGAGGGTTTTAGATATTTGCCCGAACATTTTCCAGAAATCCTTCATAATGGGTAAAAGGTGTTTCACAGCTGTATTGAAATCCAGACATCACGTTTTGTCGAAAACTCACAGGACATTTTTGCATCCCATTCAACAGGAAACACAGTCTTCATTTTCAGGTTGGACGTGTGCACTTTCAGGAGGTGTTTTTCTACTTTTTTAATAAGATGTGTGGTTAAAGTTGGCTATGAGGAAAGCAACAATGTTAATGTTAGAAAACCCTGTTCACAATTATTCTAAGCCATGAAATAAATCACATTCATTCAACAACAAGGTCAGCAGAAAGAAAAAGAGCTTCTGTTGGACTGCTTCACACTTTCAAACTTTAATACCCACAGGACCAGACATTTAAAGAGTTTGCTTAAAAACCCTCTCTTTGAGCATAAATAATTGTTTTAAAAGAGTTACTATGTTTTGAATTCAAGGTGGGTTGGAGGATGAGACTTCAGGAAAAAGTTGTTTAAAAAATGTTGCCCAGTGAGGTGAATATATTTTACTTATGTACTCAGTTATTTACTACTACTATTACTACTTATTTACATGACACCAGCCATATTGTAACATATCGTCAACATGTTGAGGTCAAGTAGCGAAGCATGCATGCCTGAACCTCAAACAGGGCAATATAGAGTCACCGCTTGACATGTCACACGTTAACATGCATGTTTCTGTACAGACCTGGAGAACACTCCAAATAGGGAGGACCCCTCTGGGATTACTGGGAGGGATGGGGGAAACCACCACCATGCAGCTAAACGATATGAGGAGATTTATTATGACATAGCTTAATAAAGTGTGTCTGGTTACAACTTTAAAAGTTACTGTGGTCATTTTGCATTTGTTTGTAGTTAGAAATGTTACTTGTTACATAGATTTCTCTGACCTATTGCATTGTCATATATTCAAAATCTTGTATTATAAAATTCGCCATACAAAATCATACAAAATTAACCTTATTTGTATTTCAATTCACAATCAAATGTGTGGACTGTATTCATCAAATTATTTTTTTACACTTTGTTAAAGGGGAAAACAAAAAGTTTTTAAAAAAATAATGTTTTTCTTGATTGGGCTTCATAATTTTGCATCTACTTGAACTAGTTTTCTCGTCTCTGCCGGCCGTTTATTATTTGACGTTCTATTAAACAGTTCACTGAGTCCTCGGAGAGCAACAACTGACGTGTTTTTAATCCTCTTGAGGAGCTAAACCTGCTCTACAGTTCACAATAGTGACTTCAAATATATCAGCAGAAGTAAATCTACTTTATTTCAGCGACTGGACCATCTGGCACGGTCCACAATGCGAGTCTTATTCCTATCAACCAAACCGGAAGTGTCGTCGCTGACCGTTAGGTAACTTGACAACAGAAGACGATGAAGGGGACTCGAGGCCGTCAGAGAGAGCTCCGCAATTCAAGAAAAACCTCCAGCTGGATATAAATTTGCACGACAATTGGACCAAGCTCACGATGACAGAGATTGGGATACCCACAGCGGCACAAAGGCGGTGTGTTTGGAGAAAGCCGGCTCAAATATCGGCTCCCTCATCCTCAGTTACCGGACGTTGGTAGCCGACTGCCCGGTTTGCTAGTCCGTAGTCCTTCAAAATCTCCGCTCCGAAATCACGGAGCTCCGCTTCTTTAAATAACGCCACTAAAGAAAAAAATCAACGTCGGACGGTTTGACTTAAGCTCACGTCTTCGGTTTGTTGTTTCAAAAGTAGGAGTCGAAACCGTTTGGAGCTCCGTTGGTAATCTGACCGCTGGGACCGAGCTAGCATCACCTGGAGTCGGATGGGGCTCGCGCAGCATCACGGTCCGGGACGCGGTGGAGCCGCTCGCTGACGGGAGGAAGTGGCCGTGGAACATGACGAGAACCGTCCCGTCCCTGGGGCTCGAGGGTGCCGCCGCGGAGACATTCGCCGGACGCCAAGCGTAATGCCCGTCCCTAACTCGCGCCATGCAGTCGGCCGGCCGGTTCTGCCTCCATCCCTGCGGATGACACCCGTCGCCGGGTCGAGCTGAGCGGCTTCAGCCCGGTGTAGCGCCTAGCTAGGCGGCTAACGGCAATTCAAATTTAAAAAGAAAAATAAGTACCACTAAACCACCAACACCAATGATATCCCATAAGGTTTTAGTCGCAATAATCTTACTGAACGTGTACATGGGCGCTCAGTCGGTTTTTTACTTCTTCGGCGGCGTCCTTTTAACCATCTTATTCGCCATGGCATTTTTAAATGGACCCAGGCTGCTGGACTGGGCGAGCTCCCCTCCACATCTCCAGTTCAATAAATACGTCCTGACGGGATACCGGCCCATCTCCTCCGTGCAGGACTGCATCAGGAGCCTGTTTTACCTGCACAATGAACTTGGGAACATTTACACTCACGGTGAGTAAAATCAGGATGATCTGCTTAGTCAGCAGCTGGGATTTTCTTCTGGCTGTGACTTTGAGCATTAACCCCCGAGACCTCTTTGTTTGGCCTTTTTATGCTCTTATGGTATATTTGGAAAGTACTCTTAGTAATTGTTATGGTTTGTCTTAACTGTCAGGCCAATTTTCAATGGTAGTAACAAGTTAAGTAATTAACAACATCAGTAAAGGGTTAACCTGGCTAATTATTATTTTAAAACTATATATATATATATACATATATATATACCTGTGTTTCTGTGTTGATTTGTGCCAAGTGACTTTGTTGTGTCTACTGCTCAGTTTTCCTCTTAAATGTTTGACCCCCTTAAACTCATGCATCTAAGTATAATTAGTTCTCACATAAATGACAAAGAAAAGCAACAAATCCTCCCACGTGAGAGCGAGTTTGACTTTTGTCAGAGCCGCCACTCAAACATAATGACTTAACCCTTTCAGTGATTCCTGCGAAAGTGATGGCGTCCTTATTTAAACGCTTTCCCCTCACAGATTCATTAATAATACATTCCCGTTATGAATATATAATGAAATGATATAACGGTTATATACAGTTTAATCTGTGGTGCCCGGGTTTTATTTGTCATTTCTAAAGCTTTGAAGTGTCTTTTTATAGCCGCCCCAGCCTTAATATGCTCGCTTTTGTACAAAGCTCTAAACAATGTTCAGCTATATGCTTTCTGGTATTTACATGTTTCCTGTTAAACAAAAGCTGGGGGAGGTGTCCCATTGGTCAGCTCCAATGGCCTGATGAGAATCCACCAATCACCTGCTCAGCTGAACTGACTACTTTGATCAAATTAATTGCTGCATGTATAGTTATTTAATTGAATTATTCTCAGGCAAATAATCGGCCTTATAAACTTAAAAAACAAAATAAATGTGTTGTTTTTTTATTCTTTTATGTGGGCCTGATAGTGGCCCACATAAAAGAAGACATAAAAAGTATGTGAACGTTAAATTTGACTGGCAATTCAAATTGAATGGCAAGTAATTTTTTATAAGAAGTTTGACAAATTTTTGCTAACCTGAAATGCTCTAAATGTGTTGGCGTGGCCTTTTTATCCGTTTCTAAATGTCACGGTTACACAATAAGCTATTCTTTTTTTTTTCATCTTTATGCAGGTCAGAATTAATTTCGGTAATGTGTTAATCTCTGCAGCCAGAAATGAGTCCCATGCCTCATTTTATTATTAATTTGCATATTGTTTCAGACTCGTACGACGAGTTCCCCAACAGTAAGCACAAATAGTTTATTATGTCTCTTTTCCATCATAAACATTTAAACTGCCAGTTTATTGATACTCAGAATTTAGGAGAAGCGCCTCCTGTTTTTAGACGTCATCCACCTGAGGTGCTGTGGCGGTCAGAGGTCAAAGTTTAAAGGCCAGTGATCGACCCGGAGGAGTCCTGGAAAGCTTTGTTACGCTTCTGTTACGGCCGCTGACCTCAGCTGCCCCCTGAAACCTGCTGGAACATATGAGGCTTTACGTTTAATCCCCTGCGCTCTCGTCTGGTCGTCCACGTTCGTGAGGGCCTGTGTGTGTGTGGGGGGGGGGGCTGTCCACCATAACTTTTAAACAGCCTCTCACGAGCCGGCTCGTTTTGCATGTGAACTGGAGACGTCCTGCTTCGGACGGCCCGGCGGTCCTCTGCCCCCTCGCCGGGGGAGGGAGGGGCCCAGATAACACTTAAAATAGACGTGTTACAGTAGACGGCCTGGGCTGTGTCACCTGCCTGGGACAAACGTTCCACACTCCAGGAGTGGCCTGAGCAAATGTAGGAGTGGAAGTGGGAGGTATTAACGACCGTAACAACTGTCTGAGGGTTATATTCCAAGCTCTGGAGTTTGCCCTTGTGGCGGGGATCACCTGTGTGGCCTTTGGCCCTCCTCTCGGGGAGAGGCTCTGCTGGACGGGGGCCAGCCCTGTGGGACTCTGCTGCTCTCGCTGGTGTCTGCACGCACTCAGCAGAGCTGGAAGCTCCTTGTACAGTTTGAAATACAGCGCCCAGGGGCTGTGCTGCTCCCGAGCCAAATAATCCATCAGGCTCCACACGACACCTTCATTTGCTTTTGCCGGAGTTGGCGCGTTGCCCCGGAGTGCCGGAGCGGATGCCTCTCATACCTAGAGCCGCGGGCCATGTTTTCTGCCAGCTATAAGAACAGAGATAACCCTTAGAGAGATGTTCGTGTAAAGGTTTTATCTGTAAACGCGCAAAAAGAGGCACTTGAGCTGAGCGGCTCCTCTCTGCTCCCAGGCATCCCTCTGGTCTGCTTCCTGGTGCTGCTCCCGCTCAACATCCCCTGGTCTCAGATCAGCGTCACCTGGCTGGGCGTGGTGCACTTCCTGGCCTGCCTGTCTCCCCAGCTGGGCTCCGTGCTCTACCACCTCTTCATGAACCACGAGGGAGGGGAGCCCGTCTACCACACCCTCCTCAAGCTGGATGTGTGTGGGATCTGCATGATCAACACGCTGGGTAAGCCCCCCCGGACACTCCGATGACCACTGCCGTTATCCGTGTGGATTCATCGTCCCATGCCCATCTTTTACTGCTCCACTGTTTGCTTTGAAGTTTTAATTTTCCCATATTGATTGTCAATGACTTACCGTACAAGCGCTTTGCTTGGAGGTGTAGCAGTATTGATTTGCCAGAAGACGTTAAACTGCAGAGCTCTGCAGCAGCCCGGACATGCCTGGGCCCGTGTCAGCCCAAGAAAACACTCTTTAAAGATTTATTCTATGTGCTTCAAACACGCTGCACACATTCCTCTTTTTTACATAAAGCAGTCGTAAAATTCTGATGATTAACGTTTTGATGCTGAGGAGATATGACACGGATCAACTTTAATGTTCAGGATCAGTGAGCAGAGAAAGTGAAGGTCTGTGGGCCGCGTTTGAAGTGTTGCTTCATTTGGAAAAATGGCCACGTCGAAGCGATATCAAAGAAGCTTTAACATTGAGTGACTAAAACTTTTTTTAGATAACAGAATAAAATCAACAATTATAACCGTCATTATTCTGCCACAAATTCACAGGTTGTATTTTCTCTGTGAACTGTGAGTAAGAAATCATGTCTTACCTTCTTAGTTTTTACTTTACATCATCATGTTGTTGTTTCTGTCTCTAAAAAGTCAGAAGTAGTGCAAGTGACAACAAGTCATTTTAGTTTCAAACCAAACAAAAACGGGATTACTGATAAAAAATGATCATTTTTAGTCAAACCTGAGCTGCTCGTCCTGTTGAGTTTTTTCTGTCTTCCTGTCTTTCTGGAAAGCTTTGCCGAGGCCTCAGGGTCTGAGCGGCCATGAGAAGCCTTCAGCTCTTTTAGGAAAGCTTCATCCCTCCAGGTTCAGACACCTTTGATGACTGGCTCCCCTCTGTCTGTGCGTCCGTCCCCCCCTGTCCGTCCCTCTGTCCGTCCCTGCGTCCCTCTGTCTGTCTGTCTGTGCCTCAGGGGCGCTGCCCATCGTCTACAGCACGCTGCTGTGCTACCCCCTCATCCGCAGCGTGGCCCTGCTGGTCTACATCCTGCTGTCCAGCCACGCCATCTACTGCGCCGTCACGGCCCGCAGCAGCGTGCGGCGGCTGCGCTCCTTCGCCTGGCAGGCGCTGTTCCGCTTCTCCTTCTTCCTGCTGCGCTGGGCGGGCGTGGGCGGCGGCAGCCCCACCTCGCTGCGCCACTTCCTCACCATGGACGCCCTGGCCGTGCTGGGCGGCGTCATCAACATCGCGCGCATCCCCGAGCGCTTCCGGCCGGGCCTGTTCGACTACTGGTGCAACAGCCACCAGATCATGCACGTACTGGTGGTGGGCTCCATCCTCTACCTGCACTGGGGCGTCCTGGACGACCTGCTGTGGATCAACAGCTACAACTGTCCCTCCGACTGACCCCGCCCGCCGCCGCCGCCGCCGGACCAAGGGACACGAGGTGGACGGACCTCTTTGGGGGGGTTTCGGGGGAACTGAGCGCATATGTTGAAATTCAGAATGTTCATATCCATCCCTGCAGGTCAAATAACTCGCACAATCACTATGAGACGCTCCACACACACACGTACACACACACACACACACTCACTCAGTACAGTACAGAGGGAATATTTAAACAGTAAATAATTATCTGCTTGTTATACTGTAAAACGTCTGAGCTCAAAGTTGGAAACCAAAGGCGACTGCTGCTGAGTTTAAAGCCTTTGTGTAACCGTAGAAGGTCAGCTTGAGCATTAGGTGTCGTAGATGGTAACGATTGTCTAAACGATATCACGTTCTCTCAGAGGTCATTGTTGCTACCTATGCAGCACATCCATATCTTTGCTCGTCCTCGTCACACACACGTGGCACACGCAGGCTCCCCGGCGCCTCTATTTTTTTATAGCAGGTGTAAATACTGTAAGCCCAGTCCTCACCTCCTCCACCCAGTGTTTCCCTGTTGTCCTCACAGTCACCAATGAAGATAAATGCAGGTGAGGGGGTTCATTTCTGAGCGTAGCATGTTAGCAGTTAGTGCCCCCCCCCCCCAGTCCCCCCGGACCGCAGAGCAGTGTTATTGGCTTTGTTTGCAGCACCACTCTGCGCCAAGAAAATTCTGCTCGCTAATCAGAATTCTTATCGCCGGCCAACTTAATTTATTTAGCGTTTCTTGTATTTATGACCCCCGTTCACAGCGAGGGGGGATTTTAACCACTGTTTGAGTCGCGTTTTGTGACGTTTGTTTTAACTCATTGCGGTAGGAATGAGTTTCTTTGCACCTGCTGTTTAATTCTACTGACGTGCTCGTGCACATTCGTTGTGCATCGAAGGCCATTAATGTGCAGTTTAAAGTGAGAAGGCAGTTTACACTGAAAGCCTCCGTTTGCACGTTGAGTTTACGCGCGTGTGGCGCCGCCACTGTGTGATCGCCAGCAATTAGTCGTGAATGTTTGTCACGTTTTAAACTTACTGTGGCTGAAAGCCAGGTTCTATGGGCACATTATACACTGAATCGAGTGTTTTTATTTTATTTCTTTGAGACGAGTCGTATTTGTGTGCTGGCAGATTTCTGCCTTTCAAACCTTTGCAGGATCACTCTTTTACCCAATGAAATAGAGGTCAAAGAAAATCTGTTTATTTGCTCAAAATCCTGAGGATTACCCGCACATTTCCCCTCTCGTTTTTTTCTTGACTTTCTGGTCACCTAGTGACTTTGTGGAAAAAAAGATTTATCTCCATGTGTTTCAGCTGATCTGAAAATGATTGCAGTCTGACCTTCACATCATCCAGTTTGATGATCTGTTTGTCAGCTTTCCCTCAATGCGTTTCCTCTGTATTGGGATGTTTGCTTTTGCATTGACCTTAAAGGTTCCTGGTCTGTCCTCGCCAAAAAATGAGGACGTAATTGCCATGTTTCTTCTCATAATTTGATGGCACTTTTGCTGTATTTGTGTTCTGGGGCGGAGCAGAACTTGCACTTTTATTAGCATTGGGTATTTTTCTTGGGTCGGCCTAACTGCTGTAAGCAGGAATGAACCCCCACACCCCCCCAGCACGTGCGCGCTCCGGCAGGTGTGTGTTTGCTCGTCACGTTTCGGCTCAGTTTTTCTGCCCGGTAACCTCGCTTTCCTCTCCCCGGACTGCCGCGCTGCCCCGAAAACCTCTCAGTCCCTCACCGACGACGATTTACACTCACTTCCCTCGCCAACAGTCTCAGTTGCCGACTGACAAGCTGCCAATCCCGTCAGCCCCTTTTCACGTTGCCAAATTAGCTGCCTGTGAGCTGTTGCACATGCTCTTCTTTGAGTGTTGACACTGACTCATAAGCGAAGACAGATTTCCCAAAACCCAGTTAACACACATGAACCTCAGACTCTAACCCCCCCCCCATAAGGTTTGTCTGCCATCCTCTCCCTGAGAATGGTTTTTACCTGCTGTAACTAGAGTGTACAATGTAAAAGCAGAAAGCTAATGTACTTTTTGGCCATTGAATGAGACTGAAAAAAACTGCATGAAAGTAGCTGTGAAACAGAAACTGATGTCTCATAGTGTTAGCTAATCGTCTAATGTTTATAGTAGCCAGCAACGGGTCATTCACTCACTCCTAGCTATGGACATTGGAGGCTTGAGTTTGGAGAGTGGGGTCCCCCCCACAGGAGTGGCAGAGCAGGCGAACATCACTATCAACTAAACTGCGCTGTTCATGGTTCTCCAAAGGGCTTTGGACCAGAGTGAATCCCACCTCAGAAACATATTCAGCATCCATAGAGAAGATGTAAATAGATGTTTGTAGATTATAAACGCATACAGTACAGAAAGTATACCCTGATTCCTTTTTTTTTTTCTTTTTTCTTTTTCTTTTCCAACATGCAATTTATCAAGAGCGGAAACTAAGAAGGGATGAAACTCATGTGTAGCCACATGGAAGCTGCTGCTCTCTTTCACAGCCAAAGCGAAACATGAGAGAGGGAAGCAGACACAGCTCACGGCTTCGCTTCAGATTTCAATATCAGTGGAGTTTTTGCTTGCTTACGTCCACATATATATGTATGTATGTGTGTGTGTGGATATATACACATATATATATATATGTATATATCTCACACACATATAAATACACATATTTATACATATATATCTACATATATATATGTGTGTGTGTGAACAACACAAACAACCCTGGAATTAGTTTCAGTAATAATGTAGAGTTGTTTCACCTTTTGTGGCCCTTACTCAGAATGCTCTTGATCATATAAATGTACATGCTTTTTCAGACATGTGAGGAAGACATTTGTGACCACAGTGGGAAACGTGGGCGGGCATCTGAATACCTCGTGACTACCACTGGTCAATCTATGCATTATCAGCCGAAGGATACGCAACAGCGAAGTCGATTTCCGTTGGTTAAGGAGCTCCCGGTCCGCTGTTACGGAGGGCTCACTCCAACATCCTGGGTGTCCCACTTCTCAGGGTGCCATAACAGTAGCTGGAACATCTGACGCCTGACTTCTGCTGTCTGGAACATGGCCGGGAGAGGTCCGCCTGCCTTTGCCCGTCGGCCGCAGTTCAGTCCGTTAAACCCCTTAAAACTCGCAACTGACTGCGCACGAGGGAGGAGGGAGGTGGAGAGGGAAGTCTCCCTGAAAGCCATGTTACAGGAGTGGAACCTGCTCAGAAAAATCGGTGTTTAGTCCTTTTGTCTGTACGTTGAATGGAAAAAAAAAAAAAAAAAAAACAAGATGTGCAAAAACATCACTTACAAAACACAATTTTTGTTTTTTTTTATTTGAATAACACAGGTGCCGGATAGCCTGTTAACATGTTTATAATGGATTAACTGTATTGTTACAAACTGATTACTATGAATACTGTAACTCTGTGGATTCTAATAATGACACTGGTCTATGTGTACAGGTATGAGACAAGCCCTTTCCTTTAAGATGAAAGGAGCTCTCTGGAGGGTCTGTCTGTTATTGTCTCTTCATATCTGCAGTGTCGCAAAAGCGTGAGTGGGTGAGTAAGTGAGTGAGTGAGTGTGGCTCCATCTAGTGGGAACTCAGATTCAATATCACAGGCTCGACTGTAGCCCAGAGGAACTGGACATGTGTCGCGCTGCCAGAGCTTGTCCTCCAGGGTTGCGTGTCTTTATTTCCATACTACGTATGAACATGTGTGCGTGCGTCTGTGTGCAGAACCCGTGCAAGCATGACATCTGTACGTAGTCCGGATGCGGGTGGCATCCCCACGGTGCTTCACTCACCGGGAATACACACCCACAGTTTGTTCCTGAGTTGTCCTCCACGTCTCTTTCCAACATTAGCATCCTGTGTAACAGACAGGCTCTCACACTCCTCAGTCTCCAGCAACGATTGTGCAATAAACTGAAATCTATATTTTTAAACCTGTCTACCAGCCATCTCTTTCATCCTGTTTGGAGTTGTATTTTATCTTGTTCACAGATGCTTGTGTCTATCTTTTTTAAGGAGTTTTAAGGCTAAAGGTGAATGTTAGACCGTACACTGGGTGGAATAAGGTTTAAAGCTAAAAGGGGCAGATTTATTACCTTTACTGTTCAGTGTAAAGCTAAAGTTATCATTCAGTTGTTAGTCTGTCCCACAGCCAAAGCGGGGCTGATACTGGCTCATCTAAAGGACAAGGGTCCAAACGCAGCAGCAGAAAAACTGACAAAAGCTCCATCAGTCCGGACCTCAGCCGAATGAATGGCTTGGGGGGGGGCGGGCCTTCAGGGAGGAGCAAGGAGCAAGCCAAAGATGCAGAACAACCACCCAGAGAAGATTTCTCAACAACTGTGTGAGACGCCCACAGCCATTACTCCAGCTTACTGCTGACAAACTCAATAATGCATGCAGTGTTGCTCCTGGTTTCACACCCTGTTATGTTTTACAGGTACAAAATACACACAAACATAGAAAAAACTGAAAGTGGATGCGACTTTGAGCAGTCATTTAAAACCATAAACATGTAATTACTCATTATAAACAACAACAACCTATCAAATCTATGCCTTTCTAAGGTTTGTGTTTCAGGTTATTTTTATCTCCACCCGTTTCTTTTGTCATCACACTTTTCAGGATGAGTGAGGTCTGAACGTGTCGTGATCTTGTGAGAGATCTCAGAGCCTGCACAGTGCCTCCCTGCATGGTGCCCTCACGGTTTGTCGGCCCCCACGGTGTCACAGCAGCAGACACCTCCCACTTCCACCCTCATTTGAAATTCTCACTTCCTCCGTGTCGTTTTTTGTGATGTATTTAACCTACTGTCTCCTCCGAGCCCTCACTCTGGTGGCGGGTGTTGAGTGCGCTGCTGAAACTTCCTGAGCTGAATCGCCCCCCCCCGACTCCACTCCCAGGTAAGCCGGCCGCGTCCGCCCTGCAGCTCTGCACGCCGCCAAACACCCCAGTGGGTCAGTGGCGGGTCAACAATCCCAAATCAGGAGCTTTTCCTCTAAATATTCCACCTGGCTGTTGCTTATTCTGCTTCAGAGGGATCACCTGTTACCTAGTTTGTTTCCCATCACAACACAGTGGCTGAAACAGGTTTTTGATGCGCGTTTGGCCTCCTGATACAATTACAGCTCACTCTACAAAGGCTGATTGAATTAGGGACAGGGCCAGCCTCAGAGGTCTTGTGATGCACATGCAGCAAAGCGGCTGTGTGCCTCTGTGTCTCGGGCTAAGGCGCGGCTGCAGATTTCAGGAAGTCAAACCTACAAATGGAGGTAAAACAAATCATATTGGACGTTTTTAATTCGGCGTTATCATGATTAGGCAGAGAGTTTGTTCATTTTCTGTGGAATCTGGCTGAGAGTCTGGATATCTTTGACTTTGACACAAATGTAGCTACAGATTAAGGCTCAACCTTGCTTTATTACAAGATGCTTTTACTTTATGATGATTGCAGGTTGATCTTTACATATTTTGGCATCAGCAGGTTGGTAAAGAAACCAATGGCAGGAGTGTGACACATTAGAGAAAGCTTTGTGGTTTTGCTGCTCACTCTTTAGGATGCGGTGTAACTGCCACTTTGACACTTCCTTAACCTCTTTTAATGACAGTGTAATAAGCCTAAAAGCAGGATTTTTGTCACCATTTTAAGGTTTTCTGTCTTGTCTGTGCTTCACACACAGAATCTTTTCGGTTTGACAAACTATAGAGAAGAGGCATCAGTCTCAGACAGACTAGAGGAAGCAGTTGTGAAAGCTTTTGCTTCCCTTTTTTCTAGCTTTCCTGCTCCACTGTGTCGTCAGCTTTCAGTTCATTTCCACCTGAAATCAAAGGCCATAAAGGCCCAAAAGCAAGCAGTTGTACGCTTTTTCTCTGGGTGATTTCGGGATGCTTTTGCAATACTTCTGTTTTTTAGAGTCTCATCCTTATGCACATGCAATTTTATTTCTTCTCTCTATCAATAAAACTCTTTTTCTTTGTCTTAGTTCACCATGTCCAGGAAGGTTGTGAGGTCCAGTAAGTTCCGTCACGTCTTTGGTCAGGCTTTGAAGGCCGACCAGTGCTACGATGACATCCGAATCTCCCAGATGACCTGGGACAGCAACTTCTGCTCTGTTAATCCTAAATTTGTGGCCATGATTGTGGATGCCAGTGGTGGTGGAGCCTTCATGGTGCTGCCCCTGAGCAAGGTGGGTCACGTTTTACCTTCAGTGAGCTGCCGTACTGAATACTTCTCGGTTCTTCTAAGGTTTTTTTTTTTTAAATTTATGTGTCAACCACTACTGATGCCTGGCGCTTTTCGTCACATCAAAATGTAACTTCTGCAGTAAGCATCAGCAAATAAGGAAGTTTGGTGCCGTCTTTGAATCTTTTCACACGTCACTTGCCCTGCGATTGAGTTTTAACCATATTAGGAGTTTGTTGTCAGCTCGGTGCAGGAGACAGGATGTGGCTCTGCTCTGTTTTTCTGCAGGCCGAAGTGTGCTTTGCAAATCATTTTCTAACATTCTGATAAAGTAGATCACCTCGTGACCTTAAACACGATCATCTGAATCGGCCAAAGCCTGTGAAATTTGCTCCGCTGCTCTCTGGATTAAAATCTGGTGCATGAAGTGAACAGTGTGCGCCCTCAAGCTCCTTGAAATACATATATGAATGTATCTGTATAGCCTGCTATTATCTATCATATGTTTGTTTTTATATATTATGCTATTGTACACGTTTGACCTCTTTCAATGATCAAGAAGGGGACAATTTGCAGGGAAAAATGGAGGAAATAGAATTTTAAATGCACTGATTGCAGCTCTATTTGCCTCACCCAAGACATTAATTATCTAACTGGAGCCACATCTTGTTGATCTATTAAAGCACACAAATGTTGATTTTGCTAATTTAGTCTAAAGCGTACTTGTTATGTTGTCCATATGTGTTGCTGGTCCAAGTAGAGAACTGAAAAAAACAAGTGGAGTTTTGTCCTTCTGGGCCTGATCTCCTCTCTAACTTAGTTACCACGTGTTTGGTTTAACTGAAGGAGAAGCCGTGGAATTCGTGTCAGCTGGCTGTAAATTTCTCCTTCTACCTGAACTTTATATCCACCTTGTGAGGCTGGCTCAATTCTAAGTGACACAGAAAGGCTTGTTTTCCACTGAGCAGATATCAACATCATTTTTCGAAATTTTCTCCCTGCAGACTGGACGCATTGACATGTCCTACCCCACCGTTTGTGGCCACACGGGGCCCGTCCTGGACATCGAGTTCTGTCCTCACAACGACAACATCATTGCCAGCGGCTCTGAGGATTGCAGTGTCATGGTAACCCTAACAGAAATGGCCTTGAAATGCAACATAGCGCATTATCAGCGGTTCAGATGTCATGTCCTGCTCACAGATTTGGGAGATCCCAGACGGCGGGCTGACCACATCCCTGACAGAGCCGGTTGTGAAGCTGGAAGGCCACTCGAAACGTGTCGGGCTCCTGAGCTGGCACCCCACCGCCCACAACGTGCTGATGAGTGCAGGTAATGCCCTCCCAGCGTGTGTATTTGCCTACTTGTACAGAGAACGTCTACAAAGACATGTACGGGCTGTAATCGGCAGCCAAACTGTGGTGAATGTAACTCATTTCACACACGTTTTGTTAAATGTGACGCACCTTGGTTGAACAGGAAGTCCTGAAACACCCCTTGCCCACCATCTTCGACTCTAGAAGCTGATACAAAGAAAAATGGTCTTTGTTTTGGAAGCAATGTGTTCTGAACACACTGGATTGCTCATGCTGACTAAAAACCTCAGACAAACCTCATAATTTAAATTTAAAACTTTAACGTAACCACACATAAGTCTAAATTCCATCACTTTTACCAGCGTTTTTCAAAGCAGAACTGAGCCGTCAATCATGCTGAGGACTTTTCCTCCAGATCTTTTTGTGAACTTCTGCCTTCTGCACATGACGCGTTGTTCCTTTTTCACTGTTGCCGTAGCAGCAAACTTTTGGGTTTCTAACAAACGCAGGTGAAGTCGGAGCCCTCGTGGCTCCGCGGTCGTTGGGAGAGAATCTCCAAGTAGAAATGCGATGTGAGACGGCCCGATTCAAAGGCCGCGTGCTGTTTTTTGACGTGCAGGCTGTGACAACGTGCTGATCCTGTGGAACGTGGCCCGGGGCGAGGCGGTGCTGAGGATGGACACCGTGCACCCCGACCTCATCTACAGCGCCTCCTGGAACAGCGACGGCTCCAGGATCCTCACCGCCTGCAAAGACAAGACCCTACGGGTGCTGGACCCGCGCAAGGGCACCGTCCTCCACGTAGGTTCCCGGATCTGATCTTTACAGCTGCTATTTACAGAAAACTGGAAGTTAGATTATATTTCTGCCTCGACTTCTGAAATGACATCGAGCACTCATGTCAAACAACTATTTGTGCATTTTGATCTGAAAAACAGTGAAGATCATTTTCCCAATGTCTTTTTCTGCCAAATTTGAAGTTATCAAATTATTTATAATGCAGCACTTCAAGGGTTATAATGCAGTATACCCTGTAAAATGTATTTAATTTTGTATTTTCACTCTTCGAGATAATCAGAGGAATTACATTAAAGTCAATTTGTCTTTATCAGGCTTAAGTTATGATATTTCCCATGTCATATCTAGTAAAAGTGTTTCTCTTTATGAGCCAATTTACCTCCACAATGTCTGTGAAAATCAGAACATCGTAACCAAAGGTTTCCTCTCTCTGCTTCTCTCCCTCTGCACGCCAACAGGAGCGGGAGAAGCCCCATGAGGGCTCCAGGCCCATCCGGGCGGTGTTCGTGTCCGATGGGAAGATCCTGAGCACCGGCTTCAGCCGCATGAGTGAGAGGCAGGTGGCGCTGTGGGACCCGGTGAGTGCTGCCAGCCCCGTGTGGCCTAAAACCAACAACTGTGTTCAACACCTCTTCACCAGGATTTACGCATCTTTTTTCCCATCAGAAAACCTCCTGGGATATTTGTGTATTTATTTCCTTTTCAAAGAGGCATCCTGAACAAATGATCTGTTTAACCATCTTCAGCAGATGAAAGCAGGCATAATGAGGAAAGAGGACATTTTTTTCTCCACTTCAGAGCCCTGGTTGGGTTGTGTAATGTCACTGCCACCTCATTTTGTCTTAGGCTCTGTGATCTTGTGATAAGCAGGGAGCGGGGCGTTTCACACATGCCTGTAAAGATGGCCGTGATTTGAGATTTATGTGGCATGAACCAAAAATGAAGTAACAACAGCTCTGTGTGCTCTGGTGTCATTTCGAAACAGAGAATTGTTGAAACACTTAGACCCTTAACGAGAAAATGAACGAGATAACGAAGCTCTGCCAGTTCTATCTTTAACGTTTTATACCCTGAAAAAAAAAAAAAAAAGGACTTCTACTCTCTGTTCTATTTTTTCCCCAGAAAAGAGTCAAAGCCCTGATTTCCTTTTCCAGTAAATGCATCATCACTAACCAAACTTCCCAGAAACAAAACGTACATAACAAATAGTGATAACAGCAACATAATAAACTTTAACAAAACACTGAAGAATAGAAGAAGTCAGAGTTTATGTGGCCAATGTGGGATATTTAAGTTCTCTCTGGTGTTTCAGACCAGTTCAACACATGACTCACAGCAGCACCAAAAATGGGGATCAGAACCCCGCCAGCTGCTCATGGCAAAACTACAGCCAAGTAAACCTTTGTATTTGAGAGTTCACATGCCCATCAAATATTTCCTTTGGTGTGCAGCCTCAGAATCAGGTTACTTACTATATACTCCTTCATACCACAGGAATGTGGCCCTTAAGGGTTAGAGCGTACTCCAGATATTAAAAGAGCAGGCCTGAGGGGAATGGTGCGGCTCGAATGTTTTTTTGTTTCCATTACATCTCACAAGGGCAGCCCAAACTTGTGTTAGCTTGTCAATAAATGGCTAAATTAAATCTCAGGGTAGAGATGCACACCTCGACAGCTGGATGGACTATTTAGTCATTTGGGAGTAACTTCTTATGTTTACAACATGACTGTTTCACCACAGCCGGATTATAGCACCGAGGGTGGGTCGGTCTGGGCTGAATAAATCCTGGGCTTACCTGCTGTCTGGCAGGGCATGTTTTGTTGTTTTGCACCGATACCGCTTTGAGTTAAAGAGTTGGATTAAACGTGTTTTCCCGTCTCCGCTTCTCCTTTGACAGAAAAACTTCGGAGAGGCTCTGACCCTGCAGGAGCTGGACACCAGCAGCGGCGTCCTGCTGCCGTTTTTCGACCCGGACACCGGCATCGTCTACCTCTGTGGCAAGGTTTGGCGAAGCTTTCGAAACCGTGCGTCACCCTCAGCCGCGCGCCCACAAGCAGCTCAGCGGCCGTCTGGTTTGTCTCCTTTGTCTGGGCTCAGGGAGACAGCAGCATCCGCTACTTTGAGGTGACGGATGAGGCCCCCTACGTTCACTACCTGTCCATGTACAGCAGCAAGGAGAGCCAGAAGGGGATGGGCTACATGCCCAAGAGGGGCCTGGAGGTCAATAAATGTGAAATTGCCAGGTACCTATGTCTGCATATTAACACCAGGAGGAACGTGTGTGTTAGTAAAGCCATTTCTCCCCATCACCAGAGAGGTTTTACATAGTTTAGAGACTGTCCTTGTATTTTGGATTAGCAGCCTGTTGGTGCTCATCCTTTAGCTTTCCCCCTATGGCACTGTAGTTTTATATATGTGCTATGGGTGAAATGTACATCTAGAATCTCAAACAAACCAACATGAGTTCTAAAGAAATATTTCTGCCTCCAGGTTCTATAAACTACACGAGAGAAAATGTGAACCTATAGTCATGACGGTGCCACGCAAGGTGAGACCTTCACACAGTCGAGCCCGTTTCCGTGGGAACGTTGGCTCAGGTTTCCATGACCCGCTCTCTCCATCTCTCTTCCCGAGCAGTCGGACCTGTTCCAGGAAGACCTGTACCCGGACACCGTTGGTCCCGAGCCCTCAGCAGAGGCGGACGAGTGGTTCGAAGGGAAAGACGCTCCCCCCAAACTGATATCTCTAAAGGACGGGTTTGTAGCGACGACCAAAGCCAAGGAGTTCAAAGTCCACAAGAGTCTCCTGAAGACTACAGCTGCCTCCAGCGTTCCCCAGCAGGACGGCGGGGTGAGCACTTCAGATGTTTGCCACTTAATTGCACGTTATTCGAAAATTCAAATGTCTAACAGCTTAATTTCTATTTTACCCAATTTAAAGCGAAACTACAATAAATCTTAGCTTTACTTTAAAATGGAAATGTAACACAAGCTTTGTTGTAATTATCAATTCTAATGGCATTATTAAAATAATGTTGTTGTTTTTTTAAGTCTTTTCTCAGTCTTTGGTTTGACTATTTGTATTATAGATGTTTTGCTGTTATCTATTGATGCTTTAACACAGAGAAATGCTAGTAAAACACTAAAGGACAGTAGACCCAAAGCAAGCAGAGCCACAAAGCCAATAACAGACCATCACATCTTTTCTTTCCCCCAGGAGGTTCAGTCCCTTAAGAAGGAGGTAAAGGACCTCAAAGCAGCCATTGAGGAGCTGACCAAGCGTGTGGGTGAGCTGGAGAGCAAACATTAGAAGATGAAAGTCTGTTGGAAACAAGAAAATAAACCAAGAGAAGAGGCCGATGGAAAAAAAAAAACTCTGCTGTTAACATTTGGCTGTAGTGAGAAAAAGGGAGAAATTAAGACAGCTGGAGTCATGAAACTTTTTTTTCTAGCTTGAAGCTTGAATTCATTTTTTTAATATATGCTTTCTGTTTGAATTAAAGTCTTCTGTATTTTCAAACTGCTTCTGTGGCCTTTTTTCACAAAACATGAAATACACATTTGGATTTTGCCCATTTTTAATCAATTTTTGAACTTATAATAATACAAAGTTAGAAACAGAATCAAATAAAAGGCAAATGTTTTAAACATTTATGTGGAATACAGTGTAAATGCCAATGAAACGCATCATCTGAGAAACATCTGCACACAAATACTCCCTGAGGCCTTTTGAGGTGCGTTCGGTTTGAGATGATTTTTTTAGCTTTGTCTGCTCACAAAATAAAGCTTAGACAGAAATGGACAAGAGATTAATCATGCTAAATATTTGTGAAATGGGAGTAATTAGTGCATCAAAGTGAGGTTATTGTGGCACTATCTGCTTACAAATACCCATCTCTCAATTTTACAGTCTTCAAGTTTTACAGTCTTTTTTTTACTTATGAAACAGTAAAAATAAGGAGAATCTCACTTCACTCTTTCAGAAACACAATGCCGTTTCTCTTAAAGAAGTAACCCACACTAATCCCCCCAAATGTTAATGGTAATTTACAGCCATTTACTACCCAGCAACCTAAAGGAAAACATCACCTGCGTAGCTTCAAATAGAAAAAAGTCCTGTTTTTAAGAGTATCAGATATTTACACAATCCCCTTATTTTCAAACCAATAACTGGTGTCATTTGCAATTGCTGCTTCCCAGTCTCTCTCCAAACAAACTCTCGGTTCCTCTCGTTATTTCGGACAGCCTCTACACGTAATTCTTGTTGGGGGCGGATGCCCCGTTGCTGTAGTACTTGGCGGTTCCTCCCGGGCTGCTGGACCTAACCCTGCTGAAGAAGCACAGCAGACCTCCGCACAGAAGCAGGATCACGCCGGACGCCCAGCCGATGTAGATGCACGCCCCCAGCTCCCTCTTCTGGGAGGCCACCGTCAGCGGGTCGTTGAAGCCCCTCACCACGTTGTGGGCGGCCCAGCTGACCGGGACGAGGGCCAGCAGGCCGGCCAGCAGCAGCCCCACCCCGGCCACCAGGCTGATCTTGGGCTTGGCGTCCTGGTTCTCCACGCAGGTGGTGAAGTCGGCGCCGCAGAAGAGCACCAGCAGGCTGATGCAGCCGAGCATGCAGCTGATGATGGTCATGGCCCGGGCGGCCTGCAGGTCGGAGGGCAGCACCAGCAGGGAGTCGTAGTTCTTGCACTGCTGCTGGCCCGTGCTCTGCACCACGCACTCCATCCACAGGCCCTCCATGCTGGTCTGCACACACACACACACACACATCGAACATCGAATAATAATTTCCCTCTGGGGTTATTAAAGTATTTTATGATTCTGATTCTGATTCTGAACAGGACAGTGAGCTTCTTCCATGTTACATTCAGGCCTGGAGCATCTGTTTTGCTTATTTTATGTCATGTAAAATTCTGCTTTTGCTACTTTTCAAGACTTTGTTGACTAAACTAACCAGAATGCTCTTTTTAGATTTTCTTAACTGTATCAAATCCAGAGAAGTTATTCTTCTGGGATCCCTCGAGTCATGAAATGTCTTTTTGTGCCATTGGATGTTGATTCCTGTATTCGTTCGTTTCTTTACCTGTGCAGTCACGATGTTGGATCCGATGAAGGCTGACACCTTCCATCGAGGAATAGCGCAGCACACGATGACCCCGACCAGTCCGCAGACTCCCAAAGCCACACAGGCAATCTGAACTCCAGAGGATCTCATTCTGGAAAGAAGAAATTAGGCACAAATTGGGAGAAAAAAAAGCATGAGGGAAATGACTGAAGCTTATACTTTGTGTTTTCTGGCTTTTGGTGAGTCACATTCACTTTTGTACAATAAAGATTTTGGGGTAAAATGATGCAGAAAACTTGGAATCTTTCCTCTGATCCACGATTTAAAAGTCTTTTTTTTATCTGTGAGCTGTTCAGTTTCTTTACGTCTTTATCAGCCTCGCTGCTGAACACAAACATGTTCCTCCGTACAGGTCTTCACAGAAACTCTGGCTGGAGGCTGCATTTTTCTCTAACTCGTGTCGGGACAGGCCCGGGCCTCCAGCGTCCCCACCCAGGCCTGACCGAACCCGTCCCTGACACTCTCTAACTTCTAAACACTTTTTAAGTTAAAGTAGGTTAATATAAGAAATAAAAAACACATCCATTTGACTGATTTGTGGAGAGGAAAAGAGGCCGCCTGAATAAAAGTGTTCCTGTTAATTTGGCTGCATCATATGAATAACACCGATTTAATTTTTGTAATTGCAATCCAGTCAGGGCTGAAACATTAGTCTAACTTCCTGGATTCAGATTTTGGGAAGATGATATCTCACGAAAAGCTAATATGATCCTGACAAAATAGAACATTTCAGTAAGAGTCCTCTTTTTTTAAAAGACGGACGTTTGTTTCCCTCCTGAAAGTTCACTTTGTCCTCAAAGTGACAGATCTGAGTTTCCTTCCACTTAAACACACATTTGCGGTGGAAGTGAAATATTCTGTTTATTAAGTCTGAGGAGAACCTTACAAAGCAGTTCTCACAGACTTTGCCTTTGATTAGTTATCTCTTTGTTTATTCTATCGAATGTTTCCAAAACCCATTTTTCTTTTCAGATTTAAGGCTGAAAACATAACAGAAAAAGATTTTTAAAAACTGTTGCCTACCTTTTTTCTTAAATTGCTGAATTCAGTTAGATGTTGGGGTTCCTGTTGCTTTTTCTGCCTGAGCCCTCTCCAGATGTTTTTCTCTGTCGTCCAAATGTTAAGACGCTGTGCTATATGATGAGGGTATTTGTAGAAGAATGCATAATGGAGGTGGGGCCTCAGCTCAAACGAGTCATTTAGAAAGCGGCGAGGACCTCAAAACCAGTAGAAACTTGTCCCATTTGAGTTTCTCCCACTTGTTACATATTAAACTTCCTGAGCTGAGAAGCTCCACCTTGATGTATCTATGAATTAATGTGAGTTTCTAGGAAATGAAATGGTCCAATCTTATCAAAATGACTTACAAATCCCCTCCTATTTTTAAAACTATGACTCCCAGTGAATTATTTTTAGTGTAAATGAGATACTGGAACAGAAAAGGCCCTTTAAAAAGCACAGAAATCTCTGGATTGCAAAGAAACAGGCGGTTCAGTTCTCGCTACAGAGTCTCGTCAAACTCAATCAGTGTCTTGCTTTCACAGAAATACAATGAAGAAATCTAAGCTTTGACATCAATACCAGTCACGTATGATTATGTTTGTAACCCGTAGAAATAACCAAACAGCTCATATCTCTGAGTGTCTAAGATACCTACTTCTTCTTCATTTATGTTCTAAATAAATGTCCCATCATTCTATTTCACTGCTAATTCCGCATTCTGCTTGTAAAGCAACCAAAATCCAAATGACAAGCTAAATCCTAAAAAGAATTGATTTGCTCACTTATTTCATTCAGTCTGTACTCAGAACATGTCTGAACAGAAAAGATATGTCTTCATTTTTTTTCAGGTTCTCATCTAATTCTGAGCCATTGCTGTGTATATTTTTAGGCTTCTCGTCATTTAATTTCTGTTACAACAGGATATTTCCATCCTGAAGTTGAACCTGTCAGCGAATCCTGAAGTTATGCCTAGTAAATACGGTTTTTCATAAACTGTAAGCCCTGTTAGAAAAAAAGACAAGTTGGATATAAGCCCTCCTCTTCCACACCCTTGATGCAGGTTGATCCTTTGCCATAGTAACAGGAAGAGCTCCTCTCAAAGTCCTCCAGCCTCAACCACTCCACTTCGCCTGAAAATATATTGGTATCTGGAATACGACTGGGAGCTTTTTTGATGTTTATCCACTGTTGCACAAGCCTACATGCATGTACACAAAACAGCCAGAGAATCACCCAGCTGGCTGCATATGGGATGCTGTTCTGAGAACCCTTTTCCATCAAAAGAAGCAATAAAAACAACAGTGAAACATCAGTCATTTTTTCCACCTGTGGAAAAAATACTCCCGGTGACTCTAAAACCAAGCATCCAAACTCAACCCCCACACGTCTCACTCCCGCCTACCCATGTTGAAACCATGTGACGAACGTAAAGAGACCAAACCTGGATGACGAAACAGTGGTTTGTTGCCAAAGATAATAATCCGAGTTCCGTGGAAGAGAGGAAATGAGAAGGAATGTAGCCATCACTTGGGTACACCTGACTATTTTTCCTTTGACTCATATGAAGACTTAAATTTGGAAGGGGCAGAGTATTATGGAGGTGATGAAATCATATCTGTGCTATTAAGCATAAAAAAACCAAAACAACAAACAAACTGTGTCAGAGTCATCTCTTCCCAAGTCTCGATAAACTACACATTTTCAGCAGTATTAAGCCAATCTAGCAACAAAACATGGACAGATATATCAACTTTGACTATTTTTTCGAACAACATTTTTTACACAATATAAAAGAATGCCGTGTTCTTTTTACCACACACTGTTGGAATAAATAAAAGGGGATTAATTTGTAGTTTTGACATTTGGCATCTACTTAAGTATGTTCATCTCTTTAAAAATAAAAATAAAAAGATTTTGAAATAATATTTTCTGAATTATTATCCAACAGAGACCGTAAAGCACAATTTTGAAATATTTGTTCCTATACTCAAAGTTAAAGTATAACTGGTATTATTATTATTATCATTAAGTGTGAACTTTCCATAATTGGATTTCATGTTGCTATAATTTTACCCAACCCTGGCCCTTTTATATGAATTCAAATGGGTCAAAAACATGAACACATTAATAGAATCAGATCATATCAATTGTATCCACACATTTAGTCAGTTATTTTTTTACCAGAGCAAATTTGACAAGAATGATTATCCATGAAATGAAAAGTTTATGATTCGAATTAAATCAATTTCAACGTTGTGCAGAGTCAGAATGTCTTTAAAAGACTATCATATTTTTGTGCTTGTGTTGCTCTTTCCTCCCCCGTGCGTAGGTAAGATTAAACTGGAAAGGGTGTTTTCAGGTTTTAAAGTACAGTTCCAAATATAAATACTGGGTGGCGCGCTATGAACCCTGTTTAGGTCTCATTGAAGCGTTTGTAAATGGCTGTAGGCGGGGTTTGTTTGGAAGACAGACTTGTCCCTTGTCCAATCAGATGCAAGTATTTGGGCTGTGAAACTTCTAACTAACCAATCACCGCCTGAGAAACGCGTGAAAGCTCGGTTTGATTCAGCCTCCTCGGTTACCGTAGACACTCCGTTGAAATGGCCCTATTTTAAAGTTCCTGGGGGAAGAGTCGAGGGACCTGGACAAACCAGGGCAAAGGGGCCAGGATTGAGCTCAACCTATAAACAATTTGACATTCTACATACCAGGGATATAGTTTCCATTCCGAAGACGAGGTTTGGCCACATTCCATTCGTTAAAATGTATCTTATGAGCTAACCAGCCGTCGCTACTTTGAATGTGTAGCTAGCCGTATGCTACATGGCTACTGGAAATCTAGCTACTGCGTTAGCTCAGGCTCCGATAGCCTCATTGATTGTCCATTTATTGTTCAGTGCAAGACGTCTGTTTTCTGAGCTGTGTTATCAGTAACACTTTTTATTTGTAGAAGCTGGTAACATTTTTGTCTGTCTTTTCTTAAAACCCAAGGTGCAACACGAAACACCAAGGTCTTCACTTCCCGATAACGTCAGAAAATAAAGAAAATGGCGGAGCCGGACAAATTAAACATCGACTCTATAATTCAACGCCTCTTGGAAGGTGAGGGACACCGCAACGACCGTGTAGAAAATAAGCCAGGTTCGATGATTAAATGCATAATATTTCATGAAATGTGTGCACAGTGTTCCTGCTAGGTAGGTCAGCTAAAGTTTAAGGCGGTCGCGGTGTGATAAAGGACCTCAGTCAAGATATCACGGCTGCAGGCTCAGGCGTTGGATTTGTCCGTAATGCTTTTGGATTGAAGCTCGTAACGAAGCCGACCCTTTTCTTTAGAGATACATTTCAACCTGTCCTTTTGTAATTGGAAGAATAAGATGTTTGGAAAGGCCAATTGTTTTTATCTGTTGATAACGAAGCTCACAGTTTAAGGTGAGAAAGAAGAGGCTGCAGAGCACAGAGGAAGATTGCACATGTGCATCAGCAAATAACGCCTTTCTTTACTTTTTATAGGTTTCTGTTACATTTTTTTATTTTTACCTGGAGCAATTGGGATTTGATTGACAGTTATGTCTTGTTAAAATACTTATCATTAAAGAAAACTATTAGTGTCACTGCTGAATTGCTGGAATAACTGAGAGGGTTCTTGTCTGATGAGCTGATTTTACTGTGTAAAGGGAAGTTGTCGGTCACATTTGATCTCTTTTTAAAACGAATGTTTTTTTTTGTGTGTGTGTGTTTTTTACGAATATTTGTATGAGTATGAACTGTTGAACCTCCACTGTGGCTTCTGAGCCAGATACAAACTGCTTCCATCATCTGTTTTTACTGCAAAGCATTGTCATGTGCTCTTGGTATAAAATAAAAACACATTCTTACATGCATGAATTTTAGCAGACATAAAACTAATCTCTGTCTTGTGACGGTGAAATAGATTTTGCTTTAATTAGTCGTATGTAAACAAAGTCACTACAAGAAGCTTAAGACATTCTTTGGTCTGACATGCCCTAATTGGCTCTGAATATCTATCATATTGAAAAAAAATTCCCAGTCTCTGGCTTTATGTAAGAAGCATATTGAACTATTTTTAGAAAAGGATGTTAAAATGATGAAAACATGCTTTAAAATTCAGGCGAATGGACACGTGCATGTAATTAGAGCAAGTAATAAATTGTATGTTTGAGAGGCTCAATTGTGTATTATCAAAACCTGAGTAAAATAAGTAATTAACTTGAGTTTATAGCAGTGGCATGATTTGACATCATTAAAGTAACGGTGACAAAGTATTATCATTTTAAAGACCAATCCAAATAAAGTTGATGTATGAATAAATTATTTAGCCAAACTTATTCAATTCAGTGGCCTTTCATAGAAATAAGTGATGATAAAACACAGCTTAAGGATCAGAACACTGGGAGCAGAGCTCAGTGTTTACATTTTCAATTTTTGGGAATAATCAAGTGATGTTAAAGGATTTTTTAAGAAGCTGTAAATTAATATCATGTAGAGAAATTACTCAAATCCAATGCCGTTACATTTGAGCCTAGGCTTCAGATTGTTTACCTTCGTATACATAGGCCCTGATCAGCCCCAGCTGAGCTTTTGGAGGTGATTGGGATTATACATAAATATGCACGTGTAGTCCGAATGCCTGCAGGGAGTTTGACTGACTGGGGACATGCTGCAGTGTTTTGCATTGTTGCCTATGGGCTGCGATAAGGTTGTCTGCCAAACACTAAAGAAGACAAACAGGCCTGATAGTGGCAGTATTTATATCCTGTTATGCAACGCACTTGACCTTTTTTTTTTTTTTTTGGTCTAGCTCTCCTGATTTTGTTTTTTATTTTTTTCTACTCTTCGTCTTTTTTTTTTTTTTTTTTTTTTTTTTTTTGCACTTATGGTTTAGTTGCTTGGTCTAATGAGCTGACAGTTTTTATGTTTTTATTGTAGTGTTAATTTAATAAAAGCAGCTTTTACACAAAACCTCCCACGGTCGCGTTGGAAGTTTGCTAAAGCCTTGGGTGCCGTCTCGGCCTCCTGTGTGGACACAGAGGCAGCTCTCTGTGTTTTGAGACCAAACCAATTAAACCTGTTTGGATAATGAGCACTTTCCATTGGATTACTACGTAGATCCAAAGCTAAGAGAACACACAGAGCATGTTGCTAATAGCCTGTCCGAAGAGTGTGACATCATCTAAGCCCGACCAGAACGCCGGGCATTGAGCAGCAGGTCTGAACCGCATCAGCTGTTGATTCTGCCGCTTTGCTGTTATGCTGGTCCAGCTCTTTGTTTTCTGGCCTCCTGATCAGTGTAACGGAAAGCCCTTTGTCTGTACCCCTCATGACGGGCTCACTGCTGCCCACAGGCTATGAATCTAACTTTGGAGTAAGCTCTGTCAGGGCTTAACCGCCTGTAATCCAGGTTTAAAGCAGCACAGCAGTATTTATATCTACTTTTCACTGCCTTTTGTCGTCGCCTCACAATGGTGCCATTATTCCACAGCCTTTTGGAGCTTCCTACTTTCAACTTTGGAAGCTGTACACAACACACATAAGTGTCAGGTTTTTTTGTTGAAATGAGAGGAAAAGGATGTTTAACTGGAGTTGTGGGTAAAAATGGGATCCACACTTCTGCACTCTTGAATTTTCCAGCAGATCCATTATCGGGGTCATGAACGAGTGTTATTAGACTGTGAAGTTCGAACCTCTGCGAATAAGGCTTTTTCTGTATTACTCATACTAATCCAAAGTGTTTGCTAACCTCTTCAACAACATCAAGTGAAGTGCTTCCAAAGAGGAGTGATGGGGAATCTGGTTTCCTTAGAGGATTGTGCAGGGAAGATAACCTCAGGTGTTCTTTAGATTGATCCTTATATGTTTTTATTATGTTCAAACCTCACATTAGTTACTCAAATGAAACGCTGGCGGGCTTCTATGCCACTCTAATAAAATATTGATTATGAGGCAAAATGTTTGTTCCTCATGCTGGATGCATTTATAAGATATTACAGCAAAGTTTAAGTTATATTTAGTATTGTGGCAGGGTTCTGTTTTCTAATCTGGAGACTGGTTGTTAGTTAGGTCAGTGGTCTGAAAACCCATCAGATGTAGCTGTTGGTTTGCTACTTTGCAGTAAATCACGCGGGTTGATATCAGCCGGGCTCTTTTCTGACGCTTCATAAATTGTTCAGATGCCTGAGCTGAATATTTTAGGAAGGAGCCTTCCTGATTTGTAGGCTTGTACAGTTTCTGCTGGGAGCTGCTTTGGCATCGAGCCCTGCCTGTACTCGAGGGGGCGTGATTGATTCTGTCAGCGATACAAACAAACCGAATCCAAACGGCATCAGGAGCGGCCTTGCATAAGGGTGCACAGCACACTCATCCTCTCTTTTTCCATCAGTCATGACAACACGCACCTGCAGTGTGCAGCGGAGAACTTATTAGGAAGTGAATTTGTCTGGTCTGTTAGTTCATATTTCCACTGTATTGACTGTTGCAGTTAAACATCAAAACGATACACTTGACAAACCTGTTGAATTCTTGAGATGGCTTCAGTGAAATAGGTGAATCAGTATGTAAAATCTGTAGTGCTGTAATGCTGCGTTTCCTCTTCCTCAGGCGATATGTGGTGTTGTCACAGCTGGTTGTTTAACTGTGTACGTTAATGCCGTCCTAATTGCATGTTTGCAGTATTTATGTTGCAGCACCAGCTGAAAAGGGAAGTGGGTTTCATATCTTTTTTTTTCTTCCTTTTTTTTTTTTAAGCCCCGGTCTAAATTTCCGTCCTGAGAGAAAGACCTACTTTTGCTGCTGACATGTTGAAGCTGGTTTCCCCTGATGAGGCTTCTAAAATGTTGCATTTGAGGACAAGTATAATTTTACTGGTGGCAGTGGTTTCACATTTTGAGCATGTGAAGAGCAGCATCACCTCAGGATGATGGACGTACCTGCTGCAATGGCTGTTAACAGAATGTGACAGCATTTGGCTGGTGGGAGGTGTTAAATGCCTCGTCTGGTGGTCTGGTTAAAAATCAAAACATCCCTTCTGTGCTTGATGTCGATCCCTCTCTGATCCCAGCTCTGGGCGTCGCCCGGACGATTTTGCTGCTCGTGTAAAGTGCTCTCCCTCCATCTCATCTTTTTTCCAGTCAAGGGGTCTCGGCCCGGGAAGAACGTTCAGCTAACCGAGAATGAGATCCGTGGCCTTTGCCTCAAGTCCCGCGAAATCTTCCTGAGCCAGCCAATCCTGCTCGAGCTGGAGGCCCCTTTAAAAATCTGTGGTGAGTTTAAATGAACTTAGGGGTCAGTGAGTTTCCCTGCGTGCAGCTCAGATATGAACAAAGGTTTGAGAGGCTGGGTGCCTGACAGATTCTGTTTTTCTGAGTCTTGCACGCTTTGCTGATGTGGATCTGTAAAGTTCTCCCATGAAAGCAGCGGCACAAAGCGGCCAGTCTGTGAGTTATGCTTCTCTGCTGCCCCCTACAGGTGATGTCCACGGCCAGTACTATGATCTCCTCCGACTCTTTGAATATGGAGGCTTCCCACCAGAAAGCAACTACCTGTTCCTGGGCGACTATGTAGACAGAGGGAAGCAGTCGCTGGAGACCATCTGCTTGCTTCTAGCCTACAAGATCAAATATCCCGAAAACTTTTTCCTGCTGCGTGGAAACCACGAGTGCGCCTCTATTAATCGAATCTACGGCTTTTATGATGAGTGTAAGTAGAAGAGTGGCCCGTAAATGTGATGAAAAGGTGTGTCCATTTGCTGAATTGTGCTCGTTCCTTTTCCGTTTGCAGGTAAGCGGCGGTATAACATTAAGCTGTGGAAGACCTTCACAGACTGCTTCAATTGTTTACCCGTGGCTGCCATCGTAGACGAGAAAATCTTCTGTTGTCATGGAGGTAGGCCTTGGCAGCTGTTGCCTTCAGGTAGATCGGGTGTTTTGGAGCCAGACTGATGGGTCCTCTCCCGGCAGGCCTGTCTCCGGACCTCCAGTCCATGGAGCAGATCCGCAGAGTAATGCGCCCCACAGACGTGCCTGACCAGGGTCTGCTGTGCGACCTGCTGTGGGCCGACCCCGACAAAGACGTGCTGGGCTGGGGGGAGAACGACCGCGGCGTCTCCTTCACGTTCGGGGCCGACGTGGTGGCCAAGTTTTTGCACAAACACGACATGGACCTAATATGCAGGGCACATCAGGTAATGTCCATCAGGTGTTTTATTTATGCTCCGCCTCCAAACTATGATTGATCAGGCTGTTCGCAGCTGTTTACATTTCCACTTTTTTTTGTATTTTTCTGCTTTTTTTTTCTGTCTTTAAATCCCCTTCAAGTTTGAAATTAGTAAATTGTCTGACCCTGAAAGTGTGAAACAGCAGGCAGATGGAGACCTGAGAGTCTGCCGGTCACGCTGACTCTCTGCTTTCTTTCCTCAGGTGGTTGAAGATGGTTATGAGTTTTTCGCAAAGAGGCAGCTCGTCACTCTGTTCTCAGCCCCCAACTACTGTGGAGAGTTTGACAATGCTGGTGCCATGATGAGTGTGGATGAGACGCTCATGTGCTCCTTCCAGGTGTGGAAAACAGGCTTTTTGCTGGTCTGTCAGTCTATTTTCGGCATTAATCTGAACCAGTGCTGTACAGAACCCCAGAGACTCTGGAGTTCAGTGAACACGTCATCGGCTCTTTAACCTGAGAAACACACTCTTCATCTTCCTCTGTGATAACACATTTCTGAGTTGTTCATCTGAGGGCCCTCTCTCAATTTTGAAACTTCAATTTGAAGTATTGAGTATTAAAAAGCTCTGCTTGCTTGAATTTAATTCCGATATTTAAGAAAAGAACATTTAAGGAGCAATGAGACAAGTCCTTATGTAGCCAGAGCTGAAGGGCCTGAGCATCCAAATGAATCCTTTTTCCACCATGTTTCTCTTTCCTTCTGATGGAGAACTTCTGTTTCTGTCTTTCAGATTCTCAAACCAGCAGATAAGAAATTGTATCCTTATGGAGGAGGGGGAGGAATGGGGTCGGGAAGGCCGGTGACCCCTCCGCGAAATTCAGCCAAGGCTGCCAAGGCCAAGAAATAACACCCGCTGCGTCCTCTTTCTATGAATTGCCACCCCGTGTTGGCCCAACAGTCTTTTCTTTTTTTCCTCTACCTCCCAAACTTGTTTCTCCCTCGTCACGAAACGGCAACAAAGTAAACAAGTGTCCAGGGTTCAGTCACACTTTCTCTCTTTGAAATTGATTTTAACTGTTTGTTTGGATATCTGCGTGCTTTTATTTTTTTCTCTCTTGTGTCCGAGTATCTGTTCAGAAGTGAGAATGAGACAGAAGGAGTTGCTGT